TATTTTAACACTGTTTAACAGCAGAGACTCTGGGGTCAAGTCCGGGTTCTAATCCCAGTAGTCTATTTGTGAACATCTCAAAAGTAAAGTTACCTTGCACTATTTCCTTATTTATACAACGAAGCAAATGCTGTAAAGATTAAATGAGGTACCAATTTCTATGAAGTCTGTAACACAGGGCAAGGCATGTAGCAGCCAGTAAATAAATGGGGACCCTTTTTTAGCTAAAATCCTGAAATAGTTCTCTATGCAATTCTGATTTAAAGCTTCCTGGAACTTATTTTCTCATGGGAGATAAAACAAGGTAAATATCCAAAATATATGTATACTAGTGATATGTACTTAAGAGAAAAGCAGAGAAATGAGATATAAAATATTAGGGAGGAGTTGAAATTTTAGGTATGCTGAACAGGTAAGACCTCAACAAGAAGGAGCCTCTTGAATAAACACATGAAGAAAAAGAAGGGTGGATGTATAAGGGAAGAGCATGTCAGGCAACAGGAGCTGCAAGTGCAAAGGCCCTGAGGCAGGAGTGTGCATGATATGCCCAAGAGACTACATGGAAAGGATGGTGTGGCTAGAGTGAAATAAGGGATAGAATAGTAGGGGATGAGGTCAGAGAGAGCAGTGGGTCATTTGCAGATCATGTAGGATCTTGTTGGTCATAGTAAGGATATGGCGGGTTTAAGCAGAAGAACAACATGATCTGACATAAATTTTAAATCTTTTTTTTATGTTTATTTACTTTTGAGAGAGAGACAGAGACCGAGCATCAGCAGGGAAGGGGCAGAGAGAGGGAGACATAGAATCCGAAGCAGGCTTCGGGCTCTGAGCTGTCAGCACAGAGCCCAACGCGGGGCTCAAACTCACAAGCCATGAGATCATGACCTGAGCCAAAGTCGATGCCTAACGGACTGAGCCACCCAGGCGTCCCAATCTGACTTAAATTTTAAAAGGATTCCTCACACCTCTGTGTTGAGAGACAGATTGGAGCGGGAGTGTGAGCAGTATAGGGAGAATCATGGAGACCAGGTCAGAGGCTAACATAATAATCCAGAGGATTACAGTGTCCGTCTTAATGGAGAAATTATGATGTGTTCTGGCACTGAGATGCAGGAGGCGTTTCCTGTTCCCCTGCTGTATTTATAAATACTAGGGGGGATGGGCGTCCGATCGTTCTGAAGTCCTACTGCCCAGGCTTTCTGTTTTCCTTAGTTGTAGCACTGTGTAGTAGGGACATTTGCAGATAACTTTGTTCTCTGCCATGCTTGGGAAATTTTCTCACAAATGAAGAGAGCACTTTATAAAATAGATTACCTTTGAAAGTTGTCATATTGGAGCTGTCCCTGGCGATCATCCCACGCCAACAAGGCTAAACTGAAGTACTTTTTCCTTGTGATAGTTATCAATTCTGACGCCGTCAGTCAACTAATGGAAAAGTAGATTACGAGGGCTGTTGAGCACCGCTGAGAGGCACACAGACGGGGGAACTGCACTGCACCATCTCCCCTGGCAGATGTCCCATGGAAACGGGTCCCCTCCCTGCAGGATGTCAGCGTGCTATGTATTCTTCATCAAGCCGTAGTTTTATCTGTCTGTTAAGCCTAATGTTTACTTAGGATTTGCTACCTATAGCCTTCAAAGTGTGTGCTGTATTTCAAAATTACCTGAAAACTTATTTCTATGTGTATATCAGATAATTGGAATAACCCTCTAAGTTACGAGGTTGAGATTCAGTCTTCGTGAAGACTACGTCAGGAGATGGACACGTGAGACTTTTATGCAAACTGTCATGAAATTCTCATGTACAGTTAGTTTTGATTTACTTGTCTGTGGGGGTGGTTGTGTCTTAAGGATAGAGAATATGTATTATAAGTCATACTTAACAAGAGTGTTACAAGTGCAAAAAGGCTGGAAAATGATTCATTTATATCACTGTGACTTAGCTGCCACTGCGACTGGAACATTCCCTTGTTTATCTTTCAAGGAGAGGTAGGCGTTGTAACCATTGGTTGGCGTTGTAACCATTTTGCCAGAATTGGATCACACATGAAATGGAGATGGTGTAATTTAGGATCAAAATCAGATGTAATTTAATATCATCATTAGATGTCGGTAACATATGCTCATTATACATTGAGTATATTTATTTGTCAGTTTAATTACAAACATTATTTCACCATATTCATTAGGTGGAGGAGCTACCATATCATTTTACATTTTTATGTATCAAGAATATAAAGTCAAAGAGATGTTTAATTATGATTTATTTTTATGTTATTTATTCCCACAACACCTTTATTATTGGCAGCCTTTTTGCAGTAAGAGAAAGAAATTGCATACTTGTCACTTCATGATTTTGCTTTATTATTTATTTTTTTACTAAGATTTTTTTAAGTAATCTCTATACCCAGCTTGGTGCACAAACTCACAACCCCCCTATCAAGAGTCATTTTTTCTTCTGACTTAGCCAGCTGGGTGCCCTCAAGATTTTGATTTCTTAAAGTCACTTTTATAGGACCAAAACCTTCATTTTCATGATATTTAAGAGTCATAGATATTTTCACAGATTTTATCTCATTAGGTCTTTTAAAATATTTTTTTTAACATTTATTCATTTTTGAGAATAAGAGACAGAGTGCAAGCAGGGGAGGGACAGAGAGAGAGGGAGAGACAGAATGTGAAGCAGGCTCCAGGCTCTGAGCTGTCAGCACAGAGCCCGATGTGGGGCTCAAACTCAGGGACAGTGAGATCATGACCTCAGTTGAAGTTGGACACTTAACTGACTGAGTCACCCAGGTGCCCCTTAGCTCATTAGATTTTAAGAATAGCTCTTTGTGGGGTGCCTGGGTGGCTCAGTCTGTTGGGCGGCCAACTTTGGCTCAGGTCATGATCTCACAGTTCTTGGGTTCGAGCCCCGCATCAGGCTCTGTGCTGACAGCTAGTTCAGACAGAGCCTGAAGCCTGTTTCATATTCTGTGTCTCCCTCTCTCTCTGATCCTTCCCTTCTCACGCTCTCTCTCTCTCTCTCTCTCTCTCTCTCTCTCTCTCTCTCTCAGAAATAAATAAAACGATTTAAAAAATTAAAAAAAAAATAGCTCTTTGTGGGATTCAAGAGGTAAAATGGGATTCTTTCCCATTTTACAGGAGAGAAAGGGTTCAAGAGCCCAGAGGTCATGTGACTATCAGGTATAAGGTGAATAGACCCAGATCTTTGGATTCTTAGTTTAGACTCTATCCCCAACACCAAACTGTTTTAATTGGCTCTTCTGTAGTTCTTTTCAAATTCGTGGAAGGCTGGTATTATATACTGATATTTTTGCAGTAAGATGAATTCAGTAGTAATAAACAGTGAGTACAGTGTTCTTCTAAGTGGTTGAAGTTCCTAACAGATGTATTTCTTTAAATTTCTTACCAGTATCCTCTTAGAAACTTACATTAAATCCAAGAAGGTATCCATGCCTGTTTTTTAAAGATAGATAAACCCTCACCAACATAATATTGAATGAAAGAAGAAAGTCCCAAAAGAGAATGTACGTTATGATTCCCTTTAGGTCACATATAGGCAAACAAAGCTATGGTGTTAGAAGAAGTCAAAGAGTAGTTACCCTTGCTTAGGGGTGTGTGGTTTGAGGGGGGGAGTGTTGAACTGACTTGGGTGCTGATTATACAGGTATTTCCTTGGGAAGGTTCATTGCCTTTTTTTTTTTTTTTACAAATAGTTTATTGTCAAATTAGTTTCCACATAACACTCAGTGCTCATCCCCACAAGTGTCCTCCTCCATGCCCATCCCCCCCTCCCCCCCATGTTCATTGCCTTTTTTATTCTGAAGTAAAACTCTTTTGAAAAATGCCTTATTTTCAGATGTGGTGGTTAGGTTTAATACTTTCAACTCAAAGAACAGTTCTTAGACATTTATTGTGTATTAAAAACTGTCATTTCACAGCAAAAGCCAATCACCCTTTTTTGTCATTGTTATTGTTTGTGAGCACATTGCGTTTGAGTTCTTGGAGCTTCCTCATCAAAGAACGAGCTGCCACCGTGCAGCCATGGTACTGCCCATCCTAAAAATGCTTGCCCAGATACATTCTTGCTTATGCTTTTTAAGATGTTATGGGAAGAAGTGTATTAGAGAAGGTCTCCCCCATTAGGATGTTAATCTGTATGGAAACAGAAACCGCCAGAAAGGTTTTTGTGGAACTCTGATAAGGCGCAGAGTCAGCTTCTTAGAGTTTAACAATTTCACATTGATTTTTTTTTCATATAAATGGTTTCAGAAGAGCACACAATAGCTCTATCATGTCAGAAATGTTCCCTGAGGTCAGAGCCTGAAGGAAATGAGGTTGAGGCTAGAAATGACTTTAAGCAAACAAAATTTTAATAAAAATGGAAACCAGTGGCCACAGCCCTGATGCTTCTCTGGGCTTCTAGCATTCACCTAAATCCATAAGCTTTCTGACCATGGTAAATATAGGAAAAACAGGAAGAACTGAAAAGATATTGAGGGTCAGCAAAACCGTTTGCATTCCTCACGGTTTAGAGACTAAGACCCCAGTGTGAATCATATATATAACAGGTCAGGCTCAAAATGATGAGCAGTTTTCCTGCAAATTATTACTTCTTTCTTATATGTGACCAGTTTTTTTTGGCTTGCTTTTAATCAGTTGAAAAATTCTTTTATTTTTAAATTTTATTTATTAGTTAACGTTTATTCATTTTTGAGAGACAGAGAGACAGACTGTGAGTGGGGGAGGGACAAAAAGAGAGGGAGACACAGAATCTGAAACAGGCTGCAGGCTCTGAGCTGTCAGCACACAGCCCAACACGGGACTCAAACCCACGAATTGTGAGATCATGACCCGAGCTGAAGTCGGATGCTTAACCAACTGAGCCACCCAGGCACTCCAGTTGAAAAAAATTTTTAAATAAGAAATGTATTCTTAAATGTCTTTGCCAGCTATTTACACACTAGAGCATCTACTTCCTGTTTTCCCTGCAGTGTTCGATTTCTTCATCAGAAGAGGAAAGACTTATTTCCATCAGGAGACCTAAAACACCAACCTCAAGTGACTTCTCTGACCTTAATACTCAAACGAACTGGACCAAGTCACTCCCGTTGCCAACGCCAGAAGAGAAGATGAGACAGCAAGCCCAAACGGTCCAGGCTGATGTGGTTCCCATTAACATAACTGGTAGGCTTTGCTATGCAGAGAGGTTTCTAACTGTACTTGGGAGAATGACTTTGGCTTGTGTTTGTTATATGCTCTTAGCAGTTCATTGATACATCAAAGATAAATAGCTATAGTCTGGCTTCCAGCTCTGTGTTTAAGGAAAGGAATACTAAAATTTATATGTTTGTATGCATATGAACTATCTCTTGCTTGTAAGATTTAGGGGGCTGTCATCAATGGTTGATGTCATAGAATTCATAGAGAATGTGTGTCTTTTTTCATTGAATTACTTCTTAAAAATACTATTTTATTTGGGAACATCTAAATATGGTCCTGGCTAAGGAAACAATGGCATGTTTCCCTTTTCAAGGGCTGTGTTATATAGTATTTTTGGAAGTGAAGAAGTAACAGTTTGGTGATATTTGAGTGATAGGCTTTCTTACCTTTTTGCCTTCTCAAATATAAAAAGGGAAAAATTGCTTAAAATAAGAATATCAAGTGAACTAATAATAAAAATTATACAAATAGAGTTTTAAAGTTAATAAGATGGTCAAGTTATATTTTGATCCCATAATTTGAATTCTAGAATCTTCAAGTTCCTTTAGAATATTATGCTCAGATTTTAATCATCTGTGATATTTAAGGGAACGGATAACAAGGCAAGGTACAGCCTTGTTCCTTAGAGGAACTGTTAAAAGATATCAGAATTTTCCTGCTTTATCAGTTTCATACCTCCTGAAAAAGGTCTGTGATTTGGGATGCGTACCAAGTGTATAACAGATATGTTAGGAGTTAACATTGGACAGTGTGTTCAAGAGAAACAGATTGCCAAAAAGCGTCATTGATAATCAGTCCATATAAAGTATGGCCTATAGGGCCAGAACCTAAAAAAAAATCAGGTGACCAATAAGAATGAGTTTTCATAAAAAATTAGGATGAAAATCCTTAGCACACTTGCTATATTTCTGAAACTAATGCTGTGGTCGGCTGTTAGAAAGGTTTTTGCATTTTGATAGTTATTGAAGATTTTAAAAAAACAAAACAAAGCCTTTCAGATGTTTTAAAGTTATATTTAATATAAAAATTGCATCTATTTTGAATTCCTGAGAAATTTAGTAAATAAGTACATGAGTTATTTTGAATTTCTCGTACATTTTTTCACGTTTTTTGTACTTCAGCCTTAAAGAAATGGCATAGTATTTTATTCCATTTTCTTTGCAAATAATATTGTTGATCTTACCAAATGTGATTCTCATGCATCTAGGTCATATTTTTTAAAGATTCTTTTTAGAAGTAGCTGTGTTTCAGTACTGTGTTTATTACTTAATGGATTATGTGGACACAAATTTTCTGTAAGAAAATGTATTTACATTATTTGATTGATTAAATGCAGCAGAAACATAATTACGTTATATATGATTAAATGCCTCAGAAGTAATATTGGAAGATAAGAAGATTGTGCTATGAAATATGGCAGTCCTTAATGGAATCAGGATAAATGCATTATCTTGAGATCAGGAACTTTAAAGCAGAGTAACTATAGCTTCAGAAATAATTATTTGCAATAAATGAATTGTAACAACAATAGACATTACCTTTTATTTGAGCTGTAATTCTCTCCTGTTGATGACTAAGTGGATATGAATTACACAGAGTTTAAAAGGAGGCCTCCAAATGCCACACAGGAAAGGTGAATGACAAAGAAGTGAGCAATATGAGTTATGTCAAAATGCAATTTACTTTTAATTGAGTGATTAACATTTTCAGAAATGTAATTATTAAATATAATACCGAGTTACATATGTATTGATCCATCTTCTGGATCCATGTGTTCATGTACAGCTACAGGTATTTCATAAAGACATTGATTTTTCTACTATTCTGACATAAAGAAGCATTAAATTTAAAATTTTCACTTTGAGCAGTCGAGTTGACTGAGGTCAAATACAGCTTTGTGCTCTTTACACGGTGTGTGTCTGAAGCCCTAGAAGGCTTTTGAGACTAAAATGTAGCTTTCTGTAGGGAATTATCATGTGCTCATTTATTTGGATGAACATTGACCCTCTGGTTTGATTTTCAGTCAGGTTCAGCAGGGAAAAGAAATGTCGATAAATATATTATTTTACCTCCAGAGTGAAGCGGGCCTGGCAAAGCAGCAGAACATAAGCACAATGAGCCCGCCAGCTTGAAAATCAATTTAGTCCCTTCAGTCGCAGTCCTGTAGGGACTCATCATGTTCTTGGAGTTGAGGAGAAAAACGAATGTTTACAATGAAATGCATGTATGGTTAAGGTTCCTATTCTGCCACGTGGATTAACAAGTCTTCTACCTGGAAGATAGAGTGGGTCAACGTGCTTAACAGTTTTGGCCAACTGACTTCGTACTAATGTCTGAGTTAGCTAAGTCTATTTCTATGTAGTACCCATGACTAAGGCTGTTTTTCAACGAAAGGGAGTGAATCAGTTCCTCTCAACAAATGTTTATTGAGTAACTGCTTTGTGTCAGGCATTGAGCCGAGTGACATGGTGAGGCTGGGGGAGGGGTTGTGCTAAGGTACAAGAATCACGTTTAGTCCACCGTGGGGGACAGACACTTTAGGTCATGATGCAAGATGGAGAGTTTGGTGCCTTTAATGGCATATGTCTTAGATGTCCATTCTCATGGTTTGTTTCTTAATTTCCTTGGAATTTGAGTGGTTTCTTTGTTTTTGTTTTTTGTTTTGTTTTGTTTTTTAAGGAAGCAAAAGTAGATACTAAATGCAACTATCTGTTAATGTTTTTTCTGTTCTTAATACCGTGATACAAGGAAATTGTTTTCCTCTGCTGCAGGGAACTGTGGACCATTGAAGTCATCATGGCTTGCCCCCTTCCACGCACAATACATGCTATTGCACATAGTGACGCATTTATTGCAGTGATGATATCTGCTGGTGTTTCACAGTCTTCTCTCAATCATGTCTGGTTTTCTCCATTAGGAACAAAGTTGCAAGCATTTATTTGTGTTTGTTGCTTCGTACATGAAATGTGTTTTGATCATGCAGATCTTTTATCTTTCATTTTGATTTAGATACATTTCTAATCACAGTTTATTCCTATTTAGAGGGTGCATTGTTTACAACATTCTCACTTGGAATATGTGTCAGTATTATCAAAAGAGTGAATGTTTTTATACTTTTTTGTACAACATAAGCATGGTGGAAGTATATAATTTGTGTATGTGTGTATTTTTAAAAATCTCGTTTTGAGGAGAATAACCATTTAACAAAGAGCGCTACAAAACTTTCTTTCATTAAATTGGCAAATAATTTGAAGCAGACTGATCAGTAACTAATACTTTATTATTTTATGGTTTCTGTTGATGTGTTAATCACACAAGTTCATACTTTAGAGCAAAAAAGGTGCTGTGGATATGGCATTCTAGGTTTGATTGCAAAACTACCTGAAATGTCTGAATTAAGGTCAATCATAAAAAGTGATCAAGAAACAGAGAGAAAGCAGTTGAGCTTTAACAATAGCAATGCTACTGGGTCTCATTGTGGTAAAAGTACTTTATCATTATAAGGCTTTTTATTGGTCATTACAGTTGTATCTACACCTAGCAATTACCACAGCCTGCCCAAATGGTCAGCCTCCTTGATAAAAAGAGAAGGCTCTGCATCCAAGAATTCTTGATTAAGTTATTTGTATACTCACATAGGACCAGACATTATATTCCTCTCTAGAGAAAACAAATGAATACAATATGCTCATTGCCTCCACCACATCCTATGCTGATTTGAAGAGTGATTTTTGGTGGCTGGAGGGCCGATTTAAACACTTCCAAAATGACCCATTTTTATTTAAATAACAGAGAATCACTCTTCAAGTCTGTTCTTAACAAACTGGCACTTGGCACTTGGCATTTGTTACCCCAGCTCATTTGCAAATGAGATCAAGGTGCTTCCTTTGGAAGTAGACCGGAAATGGAAAAAAATAGCCTTATTATGATAATGTGCTTTCCTTCTTTTTTGGGGGGGGGGGCTTCAGCATTCATTCATCATCATATGACTGGCTAACCTCATTATTAATACCTTCTTATCATTTTACAACAAGCTTCTGGAAGAGAGTGCATGGTGTCTGCTTGCTTGAAAATAACATTGCTTTGCTTGTTCTACTACTCTGTATTAGGGGAGAATTTCGATCGCCAGGCCAGCCTTCGGCGGTCTCTAATTTACACAGACACTCTGGTAAGACGACCGAAGAAAGTCAAAAGGAGAAAGACTATTACAGGAGTCCCTGACAACATACAGAAGGAGCTAGGTATGGCTTATCAGAACTGTATTCTGTTGCCCCTCGTTACTGCTCAGCATTACTACGCTAACCTCATTGTGGTGCTTACGAGATCAATACATTCTGATAGCCGTCCGGCGCCCCCAGAGGACCAGCTTCTCTCCTGAGTGCAGCACTGGGTACCAGTCTTAACATCCTCTGCAGATGACTTGTTGACTTTTGGTGAGAAGGTCACAGGAAGAGCTTATATGAAGATTGTTAACTGGGATGATAGAAATTTACAGTAACGTCATCATCTCCACATACCTTGCACATTGTGTATTTCCACAATGAAATTTACCTTTCATTTAGATCTTAAGTTTTCATAAAACCAAAAACCCATTATAGGACTTCGGATTATGACTGTGGACTTCATTGGTTAACACTGATAACGATGATGGCATTTTGTCATCAAAGAGACAGCAAGTGTGAGGGAATTAGTAAATTTCAGTACAATAGAAAATACCCATTTATATTGGATAGTGCCTTAATGGAATGTCCAAGGAAACAATTTCATAGATTTTCAATTCAGTACGTTTCAACCTGTGATAAAAACAGAAAAGAGAGATACCCCCTCTTTTTTCTTTGGCTAGTGGAGAGGGTTATTTATTTCATAATTCGCTTATCCATATTATTTCTGCTTATCTTTATATATGCTTTGGATAACCCTCTCATTCTCCTCTTTCTAAATTCATGTCCTCCTCTGGTTTTTAATGGGCTTGTTGGGAATGTACAGAGGCAGCGGGGCACACTGGGCCCGGCCAGGGACTCCCACGCCAGGTGTGTGGATTTGAATCCCAGCTCTGCTGCTTACGCCCGGGGTGGCCTCAAGCTGGTTACTTCACCTGTCTGAGTCTCCTTCCTCATTCCGATAATGTGGTTGTTGGTGTTAACAGAACATGGCGCATATGGTTGTTTGAGCATGTAATGAATTCAGACAGGCGAAGCACTTGGTGCCCGGTACGATATGTTTACCATCGGTTAACATAAAAACCGCTTTTGTAATTACTGTAGGGCACTTAATACTGCCTATTTTGAAATTTGCCTCTTTCTCTTCAGCCAACCTGTGGATTTATTTTCTTAGAGTTACTTTCACCTGATGTTTTTACTTTTATTCGCTATTGAAGGTTACAGTCTAGAAACTCAGGATAATGATTTCTGAACTTGCCCAGCAGTCTTTGAGTCCAAGTGGGTTTACCCTAGCTATCGTGATGTGTGCTAGTACACTGAGGTACCGTTGGCTACTTCACCTTCCGGGGCTACCAACATTGTTCCTATGTGTTTTTTTCCCCAATACACCTGCTTAAATGCCTTGTTTTAGGGACAGAAGGCTTACTTCCCTTTCCCTGGCATTCCCTCTTTCACTGCCACGCAGTTCTCCGGTAGGTACATTCCGCCTTCCAGACTGAAGCCACAGTGGGACAAGAATAGCAATGCTTTGCTTTTGCTCTAGGTAGTTCCGGTGATCCAGGTGACCTCCAAGTGCCCGTCGTACTTCATAACACAGGGTCTTTTGGCAAAAAAAGGCAAGATTGCGTCCGCAGGGTTTAAGAAATTTGTCTTCGGTTCATGCCCCTGCATCTGCTTCCAGGTCTGGGCCGGTCCTCCTGGATCCCATTCTTTAAGACTCTTGTTCTTCTTTTCTTCCTTTAGGTGACAGCTAACTTATGTGAGAAACTAGTTTATGTTTTAACTGGTCTTTTTGGAGATGTTCCTTAACCTAAAGGAGTGACTTTAAAGACACGCCCCTTGTAAGATAAAACGTTGATATTTCGGGTAGTCTACATTTTAAGTGGCTGAGCAACCAAAATAGGTAGGTTTTGGATGGCTTTGTGCAGAGAGTATAAGAATAATTTGGCTCAGAACAACATATACATACACACAAGTATTCATTATGAATTATCTCTAGGTCTACTCCTGTTCACTCCCCCTCCGTCTCTCTCTATATGTAGATATGTAACATGATTTCTAGAACCTCAGAGATAATGAAATTTATCACTTTTATTACTAAACCAACCAGTACGGAGCCAATAACTCCGTTGCCTCTTTGATCTTACTGGAATGATCTGATCATAGGTAAATCAGATCGTCTTTAATTTTATTTTTAAAATCAGTGCTTGAGTCTCTGGAGCCCAGACACATGTCTCTTGTGTGTAATGTAGAAATACTAACAATGGTGGAGGAAATACCTTTGCCCACATCATTGCACTGTGATCTTGGCCAAACCTGAGACGATTGAGGTCATTGCACAGTTGATGACATGACCTGGATCGTAGCTGGTGGTTCACTGAGACAGCTGTATTGAAGCGAGAGTGAGTTAAAAGCAAACAAACAAACAAAAAAACAAGATAAGCAACAACTGTGGTTTTATAGATAGACTAGTTGAAAGGATTGATAGAGTAAAGGAAAATAACATTTGAATAGAGTAACATTTAGCAGAAAATTTAGATTATGTATTTTCTGCATTCAGTTTATGACTTCTGACTGATCTTTCTCCCCAATATTTCGTACTTACGAGATGTCTGGTTTGAAAGCTTTGTACTACCTAAGTAATGTTTCTCAAAAACAGACACTTGGTATTTTCCTTAAAAATTCCTAAAAAATTTAGTCTTTTTTAGACACGAAGCATAGGGAAGTATGGCTGAGTCAAACAAATTAGATAAAAAAGAATATGATTATCTGAAAAAAAAAGACATTCATTCAGAAAGATACTTCCTGTCCACTAGATGCTGCCCAAGCTGCTGTGGCTTTGGAGCTTTAAAAATCAAACCAGGTGCGCCTGGGTGGCTCAGTTGGTTAAGCATCCGACTTCAGCTCAGGTTGTGATCTCACGGTTCGTGGGTTCGAGCCCCGCATCGAGCTCTGTGCTGACAGCTAGCTCAGAGCCTGGAGCCTGCTTCAGGTTCTATGTCTCCCTCTCTCTCTGACCCTTCCCTTCTCACGCTCACGTGCGCGTGCGAACTCTCTCTCTCTGAGAAATAAAAACATTAAAAAATGTTTTAAATAAATAAATAAGAAAAATCAAACCAGAGATTCTTCCAGAATTAGACAGTTGATTGTGCTTAATTATATGCAGTTTTGACTTCAAAATCCATTAACAGTGGATTCTAGAGATGAGTCTATTTTATTTTTATTTTTATTTTTGAGATGAGCCAATTTATAATACTTTGAAGTCAAGGTATGATGTTTTGTGTTTAGAGCTTTTTATGGCCTATCATTTCTTGCCTTCCATGTCAGTCAATCAGACAAAACTTGTAATTTTTTCTTTACTCTTATTATCTTAAATATACATAGAAATGTATTTGAACAACCCATTATGAGCTTTCATCTTTTAGAATCAGATAGGATTATTTTGTTGGTATGTAATTATATTCAGCTCCTGAATGATTTGGACCATCCTTGAGCAATATGTATTCCCCAAGCAGAAAAGGCTTCCTCTAAAGGACCCCCCTTCCGAATGATTTTTGATAGTTTGTATGAAGAATGTTAAGAACATAAGACCACACATGACTTTTTAAAAATCCACGTATTAAACCTCCAATTAGCTGACTTGTAGATTACTGTCATCTTTGATTACATATGTTTTTTAAAAGTTGGACATACCTTTTAGTATTGTGCAATGAGTAAAAGAAAAAATATAATTATTTCTTTATATTGTAAAAGCAGATAAGTCCATTCAAGATTTTTATCAGCACCTGAGAGGTCTATATTTGTAGACCTCTCTCTTTTTTTAAGTTTATTTATTTATTTTGAGAGAAAGAGATTGGGGGAGAGACAGAGAGAGAAGGAAAAGAGAAAGAATCCCAAGTAGGCTCTGCACTCTCAGTGTACAGCCCAATGTGCGGCTTGAACCCATGAACCTTGAGATCATGATCTGAGCTGAAGTCGATGCTTAACTGACTGAGCCACCCACGCACCCCACAGATCTCTTTTTATAGTCTGTTTTTGTTATTGAAATCTAGTCAAGATAGCATTCATCTGTGTCCTATAATATGTGACACATTTTGTACTCTGAAAATATTAGGCAGTCTGTTTTGGGAATAGAACTTCAGTGGTCCCTATGATGAATGATATGTGAGTTGTTTTTTACACATATTTTTTTTTTTTTTTTTTTTTTTTAAATATTTTTTTTAATGTTTTATTTATTTCTAGGAGAGAGAGAGAGAGACAGCGTGAGCAGGGGAGGGTCAGAGAGAGAGGGAGTCACAGACTGAAATAGGCTCCAGGCTCCGAGCTGGCAGTCAGCACAGAGCCCGACGCGGGGCTCGAACCCACGAACCGCGAGATCATGACCTAAGCGAAAGTCGGACGCTTAACCGACTAAGCCACCCAGGCGCCCCTACACATATTTTTAAAAGTCTTTAGAAAGACTTTGTTTCAGAAAGTTGTACTGGGCTGTAGATAGCAAAGAAGTGGTTATATTTCCATTTTTAGAAGCCTAAAATGGTTTCACATTCAAAGTTGTTACCTGAATCAGTACTTTGTTTATGGCCCTTAAAGACCATTAAAAATCTACCACTGAACCCATGCAAAAACGTCTACAATTCTAGAAGAAAAAGCATGAAAACCCATCATTCAATGGAGTAAGTTAACATGAATATTTGGAACCAAACTGGTGCAAATTGGTAGAGCCATGCAAGTCAATTTCCCCGCCTACTAAAACATCTTCTAAAATATCAAAACCTTCATTTCTTGTTTTCTTTCCTCAGATTTTTCTCCTGCCCTTTGCCCTGCTTCCTGTGTGTGTGTGTGTGTGTGTCTGTGTGTCTGTGTGTCTGTGTGTCTGTGTGTCTGTGTCTATCTGCCTGTCTGTCTCCAGTAAGCATAACTGGCAGAGAGTAGGAGGAACAAATAGATCCTCTTTGCTAAAGATACAAATATAAAAATATTCTCCATCATCACAGTGAAGGAAAGGGCTTTATGCTTTATTCCTCACAGGATGACATCTCCTTTGTGGTTCATACAAGAACATTGCTGCCGTTTTTGTCATATCTTTTGCTATGTGGATAAACAAAAGGCTTTGTCTCCAGTCAGGGACACGTGGTTAACTCCTGTGGGACAGGAGAGGAGTTGTCAGGCACCACGCCACCATGGTGTCCCTGCCCAGGTGAACAGTGCTGCCAGCAGGCACTCAACTTGCATTGCTCAGCAAAGCCCCTGCTTGAGATTTTTTCAGGTTTTTGAAACAGCGTAGAGAAGACTGGTTTTGCTGCCATTTTTCAAGATTTAATGCGTCCTAGTGGTTACTCTGCATGAATTGATTTTGCTCTCTCCCTCTCTGTCTCTCCACTTTAGCCAAGTTGTTGGTTTCATGTTGTTTTTTGTGCTTTTGTGGTTTTGGGTTTTTAAGATTCTGTTCCTTTCTAGGTATCTTGAAATCTAACCATTATATACACTTAAGGTTTCTTCTCATCCATTTCCCATTCTGTTTGGACCTTCTTATGCTTCCCTCACCCCCCTCCCCACCTTTAAACATACCAACTCTCGTTTGGTTTTAAAGCACCAAGAAATGAATAACCCTAATTTGAGGAAATGCTCACTGGATCAATTCTTGCTGCTTTTCCCCCACCAGAACATAACAGATTGCCACTGGATTTTGAATGTCACTCACAGACAGATGACAATGGTCTAAGATGGGTAATGAAATGTTTGGAACACAGATGGGCCTGTGAATCATTTTTCCCTTGAAATTCCTTCTGACATAAAAAAATTAATGTCATTAACACTGTTTTATACCAACATCCCCTGTAAATAATATCTCTGTAGCCCGACTATTGATCCACTACATTCGTCTTTGGGAAAAATGGTCACCGCTTGACAGATACTCTGCACAGTCACCCGGTGGGTGACAGGCCACCTTGAAATCGTTACCAAAAGGAGGTTATTTGAAAAGTAAATCTTCCTCAGAGCATTCAGCTTTGATCTCAAAGAGAACAACTGAGAATTCCCTATGTAGCACTCACCCTGTAAGAGGGTTTGAAGTACCAATCAAGAGAAGTACATGAAATTCATAATAAGGGTTTTTATTTTAGGAGCGATTAGTAACTATTTAAACTCTCAGGTGCCTACAGGAGAAAAGAAAAACTAAATCAAACTGGAAAAAAAAAACCATATTTTTAAGTACAGCAGAGTAAAAAGGGGCTGAGGGTACCAGTGATGAACTAACGTAGTTTTGTTTTTAGGTAACAAGCCTCTTTCTGCTTTATCTCCAGCATCAGGCACCGGCCAAGATGATGTCAGTGGTCACTCAGTGTACACCCCAGACCTCTACTCTACGCTGGGAAGGCTGGACAGCTGCCGGGCTGCGGGGCAGCGCTCGGATACCAGGGACTCCAGCTGCCAGACTGAGGAAGTGAAGGTCGTCCCACCTTCAATGCGAAGAATCAGGGCACAGAAGGGGCAAGGCATCGCGGCCCAGATGAGCCACTTCTCCGGCTCCTCTGGGAACATGTCCGTGCTGAGTGATTCCGCGGGTGTTGTGTTCCCTTCTCGCCTCAACAACGATGCTGGTTTCCACAGTCTTCCACGTTCTGGAGCAAGAACAAGCCTCCAGTCCCTCGAGCCACGGCTGGGGCCCCTGGGCCCTGCGGAAGACCTGGATGGCGCTCGCCCACGCCAGAGCGGGAAGCCACAGGTAGATGAGAACCCAGGACATCTGGGAGGTGCCTTGAGGACTGGAGCACTTCTGAGGCCCAAGTCCCAGGAGCTGAGGCACTTCGAGAACGTCCTAAGCCCAGCGTGCGTGGTTTCTCCTCACGCCAGCTACTCCACCAGCATTATCCCAAACGCCACACTCTCCTCCTCTCCGGAGGTCATTATTATTCACGCTGTTCACAGTCCAGGACAGCTGGACGGTAAAATTACCAGCTCCTCTTCATACATGAAGGTAAAATCCAGAGACCACCTCCTCTCCAGGCACGCTAGTAAAGAGGACCATCAGTGTCACGGCGGTCACTGGACAGAGGGTCACCCCCCCGTTCTTTCTCAGGCCTTAGATCCCCGTCCCCCCAGTGCAAGCATGCTGTCGTCCCTCTGTGATTCAGCGGTCTCTCTAAATACTCCAGCAAGTCGGGAGAATGGATCCCAAGTCATGACCTATCACTGTAAAAACAACCTGAGCCTTCCAGCCCACTCCCAGGATGTGGATGGCAAGAGCGAGGCCAGTTATTCAGGAAGCGGGGGGCACGGCAGCTCGGAGCCCTGGGAATACAGCGCCTCGGCTAACGGGCAGGCATCCCCACTGAAGACACATGCAGCAACGCCTGGCTACTCCACTCCCGGAAGCAACATGAGCAGCTGCAGTTTGGATCGAACGTCCACCAAAGATGATGCCAGGTCCCTGTATTCAGAGGAGCACGATGGCGACTACACGTCTATGCACCCCGACCCCGGACACGGATCTGGAACCCTGTGCAATAGTAGCGATGGCTTTGGGAACCCCAGGCACAGTGTGGTCAATGTTTTTGATGGGAGAGCTCAGAAAAGCCAGGGGGACCGGCCACATTACCATGACAAATCCCTTTCGCGAAACATCTCTTTGAAGAAAGCGAAGAAGCCGCCTCTGCCCCCTTCTCGGACAGACTCCCTGCGCAGGGTTCCCAAGAAGGGCATCCAGTCCAATGGGCAGGCGCTGAATGAGAGCCTGATCGCCTCGCTCCAGCACTCGCTGCAGCTGAACCTCCCGGGCAAGGGCGGCAGCTCGCCCTCCCAGAGCCCCTGCAGTGACTTTGAAGAGCCCTGGCTGCCCCGCTCGCGCAGCCAGAGCACGGTGAGTGCAGGCAGCAGCATGACCTCGGCCACCACCCCCAACGTCTACTCCCTGTGCGGGGCCACGCCATCGCAGAGTGACACGAGCAGCGTCAAGTCCGAGTACGCGGACCCTTGGGGGTACTACATTGACTACACCGGCTCGCAGGAAGACCCCGGGCTCCCCGGCGGGGCCTGCCCGGCCGGCAGCGGGGCCCCGGCCGCAGAGGAGCCAGTCCGCCAGGTCCAGGAGGGCGCCAGGACTGCGACGCCCCAAGTGCCCGGTGGCTCAGTCAAACCAAAGATCGCCTCGCCGGAGAAGTCCCACAGAGTCACTTCTCCATCAAGTGGGTATTCCAGCCAGTCGAATACACCCACAGCCCTCACCCCTGTGCCTGTGTTTTTAAAATCAGCGTCACCAGCAAACGGAAAGGGGAAGACCAAGCCCAAGGTGCCAGAGAGGAAGTCCTCTCTCATATCTTCAGTGTCCGTCTCCTCGTCGTCCACCTCCCTGTCTTCCAATACGTCCACGGAAGGAAGCGGGACAGTGAAGAAGCCTGATTTGGTGCTGGCCTCTCCCCTCGCTACTGCTCCTCTTCCTCCTCCCCCGCCTTTAGTAGACTCCCCGGAGGGCTCTCTGCCTCAGTCTCCCCTTTTCCCCCCTCCACCCCCAGAAGTTCTCACTCCCTTCTGTCCCCCCACTGGCCAGGGCTTTCCCCCTCCCCCCAGGGCACTTAGCCCCCTTACCCTGGGTGCCTCGGCTTCCCTGCCACCTCCCTCTGCTTCCGTACCCTCCTCAGCTCCCCCGCCTGCCCCACCCCTTGACCCCAAGTTGATGAAAGATGCCAGGCCTTATTTCAAAAGATCTGGGCAGCCAGAATGCTCCTGGGAGGCCTTTAGGCAGCCTTCTAGCAAGGAGGAGGGCAGTAGACCCCCCATGCCCCTGATAACCACTGAGGCATTGCAGATGGTACAGTTGAGGCCCGTGAAAAAGAACTCAGGATCCGAGCAAGCACTGTCATATGAACAAGTATCTCAGGAAAAACTAACTCCGGTTGTTCCCCAGTATCATTTAAAGCCATCTGCTTTCCTGAAATCCCGAAATAGCATAAATGAAATGGAGAGTGAAAGCCAGACTGCCTCTGTGACAGGCTCGCCGCCGACTCCTGCCAAGAGCCTGAGTCAGGGTCACCAGGACGGTGCAGCCGAGCGTGGCCTCCCGAGCCGCAGCCCGGGCAGCGCCCGGGAGCCGGAGGCCGAGCCCGGCCCCGGGGCCCTCCCGCTCCAGGAGCCCCCCGGCCCTTCACCCAGCAGGAAGCCACCCCCCATTTCCAAGAAGCCCAAACTGTTCCTCGTGGTGCCACCTCCGCAGAGAGATTTCACAGCGGAGCCCGCGGAGAACGTGAGCGGAGCGTCGCCCAGCCCCTCCAGGGGAGAGGCCGCCGAGAGTTGTAGAGCCGCGGCCGGTCCTGCGGAGGCCGGTCCTGGGGACACCGGCCCTGGCGCCGCGCTTCTCGAGGGAGGGGCCGCAGCACCCGCGTCCCCGGGCAGAGTGAGAGCCAATGTCCCCATGGTGCAGCCCGATGTCTCGCCAGCCGCCAAGCAGGAGGAGCCAGGTGCCGAGAGCAGTGCAGACGGTGGAGGCAACGCGGAGAGCTGCCTGTCTCTACAGGGCGGAAGGCGTGAGTCTGCTTCTCTCTCTCATTCCCCTCCCAACATACGCAGCCGAGGCAGAAGATAGGGCTGGTGCAAGTTCAAGGTAAAGCTAGCCGCGTGTGGGCCGAGTGTGCTGCCTCACGCTTAGGTTACCAACTTGGCATTTTATGATATTAAAAGCAAAAAAAAAATCTAGACCTGAGGGGAGAGCTTACTGGGCGTCAGAAAATAGAGGGGCAGGGTGGTCTGCAGCAGACGGGGAATTAAATGCAGTGAGTAATCTCCCTTCTGGGGAGCTGCAGAGAAACGTTAACAAGACTGGAGAGAGAGATTCAATAGGAGTTCCAGACCTCAACAGAAAAGAGGGAGCTTTGGCTATTGTGATCATAATAAAAGCTCACACTGAGGACCCCACAGCCCGTCCCGGGGCTCTCACGTTTCGGGGAATGGCGGGGAAGCAGACCGGGAAGCCTGGCGAAAGCGTGCCAATTCAAGTCACTTGTGCATCCTGTATTGGCTTGCGTCTCTACAGCCGGGGTGCCAGAGCCAGACACAGCCGCTGCTTCCTCGGAGGCCTGTGACTTCCTTAGGGAAGAGGGGAGTGAGGAGGTGATGACCCCCAGCAGACCCCGGACCACAGAAGACCTTTTTGCAGCTATCCACAGGTATCCCCAACTCCTTGCTCTTACTAGTGACTGACTCTGTGAGTCTTTCTAAGTGGTTCGTCAGTTTGTCTTCCTTGAGGTGGGTTTTTTTTTTCTGTCACCCATTAACTCGATTAATATTATTATGTTTTTTTAGTGTGTGTCTATGTTTTTCTTTCTTCTGACTTCGTTTTTCTACTTTGTTCCACTGATTTTTATGACAACGTGGGGGACAAGGACTCAGTGGGTGCCTTCTGCCCAACACTGCGCTTGCTGGCGAGAAACGCAATGTGTCAGTCACATGACAGAGTATTTACAAGAATTGGATTAGAGCAACGGATGGTCTGGTCCAGGAAGAGGAATGCTGGGTTTTGTGAACAGACTAAGATATGCACAGACCAAGCTCAACAAGACTGCTGTTTTCCTAAGAGTGTTTTTCTATTATTATTTTTTTTATTTCACAGAAATATCCGGAATTTTTAGTGCAGTTTTCTTTGGCTCCTTTTAAAGTGTTTCAGTACAAGAGCACAGTCTTTTCGAAGCAGGAGCGAAAGGAATTAAATGTGTTGGTTAGTGTATACTGTTAGTGCCATCTACTGGCATCAGAAATTGTTGGGGTTTTAAAAACAAATGTAGAGTGAATGTTTCAAAATAACTGTTGGATTTTTTACATATGGTCACCCTGCAGAGGGAATAGGATTTAGCACTAAGGCTATATATATTGCCTTATTTTTCTGGCTGTAAACAGCCGCGTACTCCCAACAGTGTCTCTGTAGGAATAGATGAGACTGTATATGTGCAAGGACTTTGAGCCACAAAGCCGTATCAATCCTTTGCTTCTGTCTCTGCTCCTTTACCACAGTGTTTTCAGATTAAATCGTAGGAATGTCTTGATGCTGCCAATGCCTTATATTGCCCTGAATCAAGGTCCCTTTTTTTTCTTCCTGGAACAAAGCATCCTGTAAAACCATTAGACTCTCTATGTGAATAACCTTGTATCAGGACTGTTTCCCCAGTTTTTGGGATCTGAGAAGGCTGTTGCATGAAATGGAAAGTGTAGTATTGTCCTGATGTGAAATTCCTTGTGCAGCAAATAAATATCTAACTTGGAGAGGCAGGGGGTAGGGGGAACCAAGCTAGGGAATTAGGTGTTTCTCAAGAATTATGTTCTTTTTTTTTTAAGGTAGATTCTCTTACAATTTTTTATTATTTTATTTGAGAGAGCATGAGCAGGGGAGAGGAGCAGAGGGAGAGAGAGAATCCTAAGTGGGCTCCACACTCAGTGCAGAGCCAGACACAGGACTCTATCCCACAACCTGGGGATCATGGCCTGAGCCGAAATCAAGAGCCGACGCTCAACTGACTAAGCCACCCAGGCACCCCAAGAATTAGGTTCTTTACATCTTAGCTCTAGTATTGGTATTATATCCCAAAAGACTGCCTCTTTTAGCATTGTCTGACTGGTTTCTTTGATCTCCTTAGAAATAAAAAGGTGCAGCTACTTACGAAATTATTTCTGAAAACTGTAAAATGAAAAATGCTGCATCTTTGAAAGTGACTTTAGTGGCACTTGTAGACGTTTATGCCGAGGCTTCTATTCTAAACATCCTAGAGATGTAATAAGCACTCAATCGATACTTTCTGAATTAAATGAAACCAATTGGAATTTAACTATTAGGAAATTCTTCCAGAACTTGGCCTCTTTCATTTCGTATGGAATGCACTGGTTTGCTAAATGTGCAAGCATTTACATTTGTAATAATAAATGCCTGCACACTTACTTTCTGCAGAGAAGATACGTTGCTCGTTGCTCTGTGTACTAAATACGTGGTCTCAAGGAGGAACCCAGCTATTGTGGGACCAATTTACTATGTGCTTTTCAGAAAAATATGCCAAATGTCTCTTCCATATTTTACTTTGGCAATTTTATTAAGACCCCGAAAAATCTGTGGTTTACTCGTGAATTACATCTACTACAGATGTGGGGATCAGCTGGTCTATTATTCTGTGTACATGATAGAAATAAAGGGTATGGATTGGAGAGCGAGCGAAGATACCTGCTGATTTCCGTTTTCATATTGATAATGTATTAGCAGACATAATAAAAATCCATCTGAAGTCTGTGATTTTTAGGGCTTTATTTTCTATTCTTCAGCACTGAAGCTAATAATTTAAAAGAAAGAGTATCTAAGCTGAACCACAGCTTTCAAATTTTATAATGCAAATGAATTCACTTCAGATTTTAAAGCCAGATGGAAAATGTAGAACACCAGTTGAGGTGTGAAATTTTTATATTTATTGAAGTAATTAGTTTTTCAAGCCAATGTTAACTGTTTGAGTGCTTTTTATAGCATCTTCTTTAGAAATACACACACAGAGTGTGTGTGTGTGTGTGTGTGTGTGTGTGTGTGTGTGTGTGTGTGTGTATAAATACCTATACCCTATACATACATATATGCAGAGAATTCGTGTGCTTAGATTTAATTCTCATTTTCAGGTGCAACTGCTTTGACGAAACAACCAAAAACTTTTATAAATTCTCATCTCCTCTCTTAATTCTAAACCCACAGTTAGAGGCCATTAACTTTAATCAAGTATACCTGTGGCTTGATGTATGGATCTCAGCACACCCTTACCTTTTTTTCCTTAAATGTTTATTTTTGAGAGAGACAGACAGAAAGAGACAGAAGTGAGCAAGGGAGGGGCAGAGAAAGAGGGAGACACAGAATCCGAGGCAGACTCCAGGCTCTGAGCTGTCGGCACAGAGCCTGATGTGGGGCTCAAACTCACAAACCATGAGATCGTAACCTGAGCCAAAGCCAGACACTTAACTGAGTCACCCAGGTGCCCCAGCACACCCTTACCTTTTAAGAAACGAACCAAAGATTGGGCTATAAAGCCGTATCTGCAAAATGAGATGGGCAGAACTGCTTCTGAGAAGTTCAAATAAGGCTTTAGTGCTAAATCATATTTACTCTCCAGGGGGACCCCTAGACGTTGGGAGGTCGGGTAGGAAGATAGTCTGCCAAGTCCTAGTTCTTATATTAAGCTGTGTGGCTTCACTCTTTGGTATCAGTTACCTTCTCTGGTCAGACCACACCAACTAAAGCCATTTCCAGTTCTTAAGATTCTGCGATGTTACTATTTTGGTGGTTTCTTTCCGCTGCCCGTCAACAGAGAGTCCAGAGCACCACTCTCTGGTGACAACCAAGCAGAGCCATTAAACCAAAGGGCCATAGGCCAGGCTCTGCTGTCTCAAAGGGGGTGGTGCCATGTCCGCTTTGGCCACCCTTCAGACTTTGTTCCGGTCCCTACTGACTCCTGTCTTGTGCTTTGGGGGCTGCTTTTTGGCCAGAGCATGGAGAGGGCCGTGGGAGCGCCAAGCCCAGGGCAGCCATCAGGGGTCCATTCGTCCCATGTCTAGCTGTGCGAGGCCACGTAAAAACAGCACTGCAGCTGGCCTTGCGGCAGGAGGAAAGGATCCTGTTTCCCTGCATGGCACCCCCGGGTCTGCTGAGCACGCCCTCTGTGCCTGCCACTTCATGGCTGTTATCTGCATTCATCTTTATTGGTGAACCAGGAGCTGTTGTTTCCCTTTCCAGATAGGATACTGGAGCAGAAACTTTAAATTGCTCAAGGTCACAGAACAAGGAAGCTTTAGCATGGGATTTACCCCAGGTCTGTGTGACTCCACAGGCTCCTTATCTCACTGACCCCTCACAAACACCTGTGAGGTTAGTATCCTCGCCCCCGTTTTTACAAGTATGAAAACTGACTAGTTTCTCCAAGGTCACACAGCTAAAAGTTGGCAGTGTTCAAGTTCAGCTCTGCACCATCCTCTTAACCTTTTCCTGCTGCATATTCCAGAATTTTACAGCAAACAAAGAGATGTACCCATGTCTTTATTTTATTAAATACACCGAGTTTCCTTAAAGCACCTGCACTTGACTGAGAGATTCCTTGCAGATTGAGTTGTTATTAAGAAGCAACCAGCAAGGGGCCCCTTGGCTCATCTACTTGATTATCTGAGTCACTCCCATACAAAACACATTGAACAGCAAGGCTCTTAGAGCCTGAAGACAAAAAACACCCCCGAGAAACATTTTACTTTTCCCTAAAGGCCCCTCCTCTGTCACATTCCACCCGCATTCCTCAGATTTTCTTGATCAGTTAGAGGTTTTGTGAAGTCAGTCAGGAAACAGGATCCGGTGTGGAAGGTGTGGAAGGTTCACTCTTGTTTTCTGGAAAACTGTGGACTTATAGAAGTTGACATATGGTCCAGTAAGAGCCAAGAAAGGCGGGTTTTATGTCACACTCTAGAACGACTGAGAATGCAGAGCTATAGAATTGTTCTAGAATGTGAGGTGGGGGCCTGCCTCTTGGTGGGAGATATTCTGTGGGTTGACTTACTTATTACTCCTGTTCAAGGGCCAGTACCAAACAAGAAAAGGAAGATTACAAACAAGGGTGGTCAGCAGTGAAATTCACTCAGGATCAGTCTGATACTGGAGTGTTAAATAAAATATGGCAATAGAAGCTTTTGAAATGATCCGCACCACAATAAGTTAATATGATATTTAAGATTCATTTCAAAATAGTCCAGTGAGGGGACAGATGAAAGAAGGGTGGCCATGAGTTAATTGTTATTGTAGCTGGGTGATGGGCTTACATGAAAATACAATAAACTATTAAAGGAACTCGGAATGAATGGTGACTGGAGTATGCAGTAAGAGAAACGGGCAGTTGTGACTGACATCCCACGGCCCACTTGGAATTAACCTTTATCTTAATGTTCTTAAATCTTAGATCCAAGAGGAAAGTCCTTGGCCGCAAAGATTCAGATGACGATCACTCCCGAAACCATTCTCCCTCCCCTCCAGTGACACCCACTGGTGCTGCCCCCAGCCTGGCCTCCCCAAAGCAAGTGGGGTCAATTCAGAGAAGTGTCCGTAAGAGCAGCACCAGCAGCGACAACTTCAAAGCTCTGCTGCTAAAAAAGGGGAGTCGGTCAGACACCAGTGCCCGCATGTCTGCAGCCGAGATGCTGAAGAACACAGACCCTAGATTCCAGAGATCAAGGTCAGAGCCTTCACCAGACATCCCTGAGAGCCCATCAAGCTGCTCCCCAAGCAAGAACAGGAGGGCCCAGGAGGAGTGGGCCAAGAACGAAGGCTTGATGCCTCGGAGTCTGTCCTTTTCCGGCCCCCGGTACGGCCGCAGCCGAACCCCACCTTCTGCAGCCAGCAGCAGGTACAGCATGCGGAACCGGATCCAGAGCAGCCCCATGACCGTCATATCGGAAGGCGAAGGGGAAGCCTTGGAGCCTGTAGACACCCGGGCTCGGCGGGCCCTGGGTGCTGCAAGGGACTGCTCACTGGATGGACTGGTGGGGGGCGAAATGGACAAGGGCAGCCTGCTCGGTGGTGGGGAGCCCGCTGCCTCACCGCAGGCACAGGGTCCTGACCCCGTGGATGGGACAGTCAGTGCCGAGGGCACAGGTCCATCAGAACGATGTGAAGGGCCTGTGGGCGAAGAGAGCTAGGGCCAAGAATGTGAATCTCCCAGGCAATGTGAGGGAGACGCACAACACATCGCTCTAGGGAGCCTGACAGGTACCTTCCCTGCCTTGCCCGTCAATCCCACTCGGCGTTTGTGCTGTGGGCCTGGGCACTGCCAGCCCTGCAACAGAAGGGGGATGTTATTCAGGACTCCCATGGCACTTGCCCTGTGGCTAAAAGCAAGTAGAAGCTTAACTTCTGAAAGTGCTTCCTGGGGAAGATTTCTTTATTTCCTCCCTCCTTTTTTTTTTTTTTGGGCTAAATGCCAGGTGTGTGTGGGGAAGGGTATGTGTGTGCCTGCATTTTGAACCCCTTTATGTTAAAATGCACGCATGCGCACACTCACACACACATAGACACAACACACACACACACAAGTAGCACGTACAGAAACAGGAGAAGGAAAGACTGTTTAGCTGGGTAGAAAAATGGAGTCTTCTGGATTAGGTGGGCATTACTTGAAAAGTATTCTGTTTGGGGAAACTAGTGAGTTCCCGAAGATGGGAGAGAGAGAGAGAGAGAGAGAACCATTCCTTCTAAGAAAGAGGGGGTAGATTTGCTGGTGCCCCTGCAGAGGACACGGGTACAGGCCCCGGTGTGCTTTCAAGGTGAGCCATGTCATGATGAACCCAAAACGGTGGGAAAGGGCTAAATGACTAATGGGTTCAGGTACTTTTTTCTGGGGGAAAAAAGGCTTGGTTTCTTTTTTGTGAAAATGACAAACGTGGGGATGTGGCAAGGCGGTATCTTGGAGCCCTGCTAGGGGGCAGCCACAGAAGACACACACCTTCTAGCCTGAGTTTTAGACATGTGTACGAGTTTCTCATGAATTTCTTCCTCGAGTAGCTGCCGAGGCCTTCCTTGAGAACGAAGAGGACAGTGTGCATGCACAGAGAGGGTGAGCAGGGAGAGAGGGGAAGGGGGTAAGTGGTAACGCTGCTGGGAGCTGTTTCCTGCTTATGAAATAAACGTATTTTTCAGAATTCCATTTGGAAACTTGCACTACAGAACTGTGGGTGGAGATTTCCCGTTTACAGATATTTTTACCAGAGTGTAAACTTGCATTTGGCCATTTCTTACCACTTGAAATGTCAACATTTGCTAACTTTTTTGGATATCCTTTTGGTGACACCAAAGAGAAAGGCATGGCTATTTTTCCTTGACCTGCCTACAGTATCATGTCCTCATTTAGAAAGGTTTATCAGAATCAATTATATATTATCCTACTCTGAAGAAAATGCTGAATAGCTCTTGTTAGTGAAATACACTAATAAAAATTGGAAGGGCTTGGCTCTTAATTAGCCATGGGAAATGAGTTTTTAGATTAAAAAGATTTTTTGCATCATTTGGTTTGTGAGTTTTTATTATTTTTTTATAAGTAACTGAGTTGGCTAATTACCTTCTAATCTTCTCCAGTTAGAATTTTTAATCCTTAGAGGCATGGGAGAAAAGTGTGTGAAGTATTTATTTTTATGTCCTCCTCTTGAGGCCCCCTCCCCCATTCCTTCCCAGCCGCCGTGTACCCAGACTCCTTTGTTTGTTGGCTAAATAAAATAAGTCTTCTTCATCAGAAGGACTTGAGATGACAACACGGAGATCCTTGGCCTGTGTATAGTACAGTTGCCGACAGGCATCTCCCTCCGTATAAAAATATCATCCAAAAGTGGGACCTCACAGGCCAGACTCTCAAAAGGTTTATTACACATCCCAACTTTAGATTCCCATTTTTGACACATCTCTGAGACAAAAACAAACCTGAAGAATGAAGGCGTCTTCCATTCTCTGCAGAAAACAAACCCCTTCTTTTCCCACAGCCCTCAATGACGGCCAAAGGCTGAAGGACGTTTTACCATTTGGAGCTACTGTCTGCTGCCCTGGGCCCAAGGGTCTTCTCTTCTCCATTTTAGAAAAGTGGTGTTGGCTTTTGAATATGAACCTCCTAGCCCCCTAAACCTGATTAGAATGTACGCGACTATCAGACAACTTTAACTTAATATATAAATCATTTATGTCGAAGGTAAAGTAAAACAGCATCAAAACTAATTATAAAATTATTTTAAAAATCCCCATTTTTAAAGAGAAACAAATACTAGGTTTTACAATTTGCTTTGAATAAAACAATTGTAAAGTAAATAGTTGACCCTGATTTCTTTTCTTTTGTACATGCATTTTTGAATAATAAGATAAGTCTTCTTTCACAGAACTGTTGAGTGCTTTGCTGGATACAAACAGAACAGCAGTAAAGACCAGAAGGTGCCTGTGGGAGGTGGGGACCCAACAGAGAGGAGATAGAACATCGCAGGCACTGTGGATGGTGACATCTAAAAGGACATATGGAAAAACAGCTCTGAACAGTGTCCTATGGACTTTTGAATAAATATGAATAATGTGTTGACTGATAGTTCAGGTGACGGGGCATGTGGAGAGATGCAAGAACTTTTCACAGGCACAGATGACATCTAGCGAAACAAGACTCTAGACTCATCCCTGGAATATATGGCATCTTTAGCTCTGTTACTTTATTCCTCTGTGAGCACTTGCTGCTGTTAACAGACCCCATCATCTTTAAGAAGTCCGTTAGGTTAGACTTGTGACCCTTCCTTATACCCCAAGGCTGTGAGTCACTGATAATCATAGAAGCTCTAGGGATCAATTATTTCCATCTTATTTTTCCTGAAAGTTGGGGGAGAAACAGTCACGTGGTCTGCCAGGCGGAAGCCACCACAACTTTGGTCTGATTTCTGCCCCCCTATTTCTGAAGGATGTTGATTAAAACCATTTCTTCTCCCTGAGGGTGTGAGTTTATATTGTTAGGAGAGTCACAATAACAAGGAGAAGAAACAGCACGCCCAGCCCTGTGGCGGGTGCCCTGGGAGGACAGGTGAAGCATGGGATTGGCTTTGCTGGTTGTGCCTTAATGTGTTTGCAGCACATGAATTTAATATTGAATCTATTGCTGAGATTCCATCAAGAATGAGTACAACAGGATAATATACTTGGGTGACACTAGAATATTATTGGTGGGCAGGGTGGGAAGGAGGGACTTTCAGATAAAACATGGACATGACTCGAGGTCTGTTTGATTCCTGAGGTCTGCTTTTTCTGCAGTTACCTCTTCAGTTACTGTGATATAGTTTCTTTTGATGAGCTGCTCTACCTTCCACACAGGCCAGCCTTTATTCATAGAACACAGACTAGAGCAATCTAGAGTCATGTATTCGGCATTGGGGGAAAAAAAAAGCCCTTTATTAAATACTTCTAATGTGCTAAGGCGTAAGGGATCCTACGATGTAAAATGGTTAAGCGTCCAACTCTTGATTTCCACTCAGGTCATGATCTCACAGTTCGTGAGATTGCCCTCTGCATAGGGCTCTGCACTGACTCTGCCCCATCCCCACTCACTCTTTCTCTCTCTCTCTCTTACACAATAAATAAATGATAAAAATGTGGATGAGATTTCATTAATAGGCTTCAAATCTAGTGAAAAAGACACACACCCCCTGTGAACTATCGTGTAAAATGTGTCAGAACGGATGAAAAGGAAGCGCACTCTGAGCTCCACAGCAAACGCTGTTGGGGCCCCACACCCCGTGTGTTCTCCTTTACCGCTGAAACACCTGACATTGATTCGAGATGGCAATGCACCCAACCGAATCACTATACCTCACAGCCTCCCCTATAGTCAAGAGGATAGAGTTTTGGCCAGTGAGACATGAGCAGCGGTCTGGAAATTCTCGCAAGGTTGCTGATATAGGAGCCAGACACATCTCTTATCGCTTCCTTTTTCCCGTTTCTCCCTAAATGAATGGGAGGCTAAAAGAAAAGTACTTTTCCAATGTATCAGCACCAATGGGTTGAAAGCCACATGTTGTGGAAGGTGAAGGAGAAAGGAGCCTGGTCCATTGCTTACATCTGGAGTCACTGCATCAGCCTTAGGCTGTCTACCTTCTAGGTACACTGCAATTTTCACTCAGTTGAGTGATAGGACTCTCAGAGGAAGGTGTCATTGCTGGGGTTTTTTAAGGTTTTATTTTATTTTAATTTTTTAAATGTTTTATTTCTGAGAGAGAGAGCATGAGCAGGGGAGGGTCAGAGAGAGAGAGGGAGACAAAGAATCTGAAACAGGCTCAGAGCCTGATGTGGGGCTCGAACCCATGAACCGTGAGATCATGACCTGAGCCAAGGTCTTTCGCTTAACCGACTGAGCCACCCAGGCGCCCGTTAAGGTTTTATTTTTAAGTAGTCTCTACACCCCAGGTGGGCCTCCAACTCAAAACCATGAGATTGAGAGTCGCATATATACTAAGCCAGCCTCAGGTGTCATTACTTTTGACTAGATGGATGGGGGAAAGATTGGTTGAGAACCTGAACTAAGACTCCATGGACAAGGAAGATTTCAACAAGCAGGGGAGGTTGGCGGGATAAGGGCCCTCCAAATGGAGGGGACAGCATGAGCGAAGGCGCAGAGGCCAAGGGTTTGGAGGAAGCCATGTAGTTAAAATGTCTCCAGAAGAACATAGTAGGACGTGAGACTGGAAAGATCATCTCAGGCAAGAATGTAGAAGGCCTGGGATGTCCTCCCAAAGAATTGGGGTTTTGTTCTGTAATGTTGGGAAACAATGAAGGCTTGATAAGAAGGAGAATGATGTGACCTGGTTTGGTCCTTAGGGTTCTAAAGCTATACTCTTTCTTGTTGATTCCATGTAATCCCATAGCCTTATATAAATGTATATATTTATACTGGTGTGTGTATATATACATACTGACAACTGAACATCTCCTGTCCTTCCTCTGTGAACCCCCAGGTGGTATACCTGCTGCTTACTCAAAATCTGCATTAAATGTGTTTTAGACTTAGTATCTCCAAACCATACTCCCCATCACCATCTCTACCTTATCAGTTAATGGCATTAGGCAATGGCTCAGGCCCCAAATCAAGGCTTATTCCTGTGGTCTGTTTCCTTTTCAAGCCACATCAAAACCTCAAGCAAGTCATGGGAACTCTACCACCAAAATAATTCACAGATCCAATCACTTCTCACCAGTTCCACTGCTACCTCTCAGATCCAAGCTGCTATCTCCTAACCAGACTATTGCAAACACTTCCAAACTGTTCTTCTGGTCTTTACTGTGCACCTATAACCGCTCTTAATTCACCATACAAAATAAGCCCTTAAAAACAGTTCATAGCACTCCACTGCTTGAAAACCTCCAAAGACTGAATCTTACAATTGGAATAGAGTTCGAACTCCTTGCTGTGGCCTTCAAGTCCTTTAAGATCTACCACTGTTCCCCCCACCCTCCCTTCCAAATAGTCTGGTCTAATTCTCCTTTCTGCCCCTTGGCAGAAGCTATTTCACACCTCAAAGCCTTTAACTACTGAAAAGAAAAGTTCCTGTTCTTCTATGTTGGCTTAAGTTCCTCAGGAAGTAGACACTGGGACCATTAGCAATGCAAGGTTTTATTGGAGTGTAACACCATTAAAAGGAAAAGCAAAGAAGTGGGGTAAGACCAGATTTGCAGTACTGACCTTACACATCCGCCCAACCAACCTATGGGGAACTCTGGGGAAAGATGACACGGCGGAGGGCTCCTGTGTCGGACAGAAACAGCGAGGTCCTTTACCCCTGCCCTGTCTGGTCTTTGACAAGAGGCCACTCTGAGAAAAGCATGCCTTCAGTTTCCACCGCCTAGTGGAATCATTGGTCCCCAACCCTTGGAATAGTATGGCCTCAGCTTGAAAGCTAAGGTGGCCCCTGAATAAGCCACCAGTCAGAGGCTGTCAGCCAACCACACTTTTTGCTGCTGGATGGCCAATCTTGAGATCTAAGTGGCACATCTCCATGCCTGCCACAGTCCAGCCCTGTCACCCTGTGGGTCTGCTTCCCCAACAAACGTGGAAGGCCATTCCGCCAAGGCTCTGGTGGACTTCTGTCTTCCTGAGGAGAAAATTTTGTTAAAGGAACTTTGTGGGACCAAGTACAGCCCTCCTACCACTGGTCTGGGGCCACATCTGGTGCTTCTCCTCCCCTCCTCCACCCACTCCGTGCCCTTTACCCTCAACTGCCACCTGTGCTCATCTCAGTGGCTTTCCTAATGGTGTGAACCACGCTTTCATTGCCGAGGGCTCTGAGATCATGAGGATCAAACCCTTCTGGGACCGGGTCTGCTACGCTTGTCCATTCACGGCTCCAACTGAGCAAGGAGTACACAGGGTGCACCAAGTGAGTGCCCCGAGTTTCACCCATCATGTAACAGCAGGCTTACCTCCTTTTTCACTCCAGGGTCAGGTAACCCTGACAAGATGGTGACTCTTGCCTGCTAGACCCTGGACGCAAGGAGTCCAAAGTCCCCAGGTGGCAGCAATAGGTGAAGTTCAATGGGACCCTTGTTCTGTTGCCTAGGGAGGGTGTACACCTTTGAGAACAAGGACCTCTGGCTCTGCAGAGCCCAGAGCTGTGGGGCGGGAAAGCTTGTGTCTCTCAGGAGCTCATTGGGAGTTATGGTAAGTAGGGTCACTCTTGCTTCCACCCCTTGGTTCTCAGGGCCACGGATGTTTCTGTTGTGGACACAGCACTATGTAAGATCTCCGACTTAGTAAGCATACTGTCTTGGTAGGGTGTTGGTTGAAACCAAACCAGAAGCTTCTAGGTGGCGCCGTACATGAGAGGCCTAGTGGATCCCATGGCCATAGGTAACTCTCCCTGCCTGGGTGTTCAGTAAATCCATGCCAGTGGATCAGAGATTTTGTGAAGTCGCTAGAATGGGGTGCTGTTGAGACGCTATAACCAGGAAAGGGAGCTGCATACCTAGAATAAGTGTCTAACTTTGTGCAGATGAACTGCTGGCCCTTCCAGGAAAGAACGGGCCTGATGCACTGAGTTTGGCATCAAATGACCAGCTGATCTTCTCCTGGCCTCATGGGGGTCTCAGCACTGCTATCTGTTGCTGGCAGGCTAGACGTTCAGAGTTAGCAGTGACTAGGTCAGCCTTGGTAAGTGAGAGTCCGTGTTGTTGTGGGCTCATGCATAGCCTCCATCTCTGCCACCATTGCCACCTTCTTTGTGTGCACATCATGCCAGCACTGGGGCGGGCACCAACGAAAGCTAACAGCAACAGGCTAAGTCATTTTGTCTTCGTGGTGGCTTAGTGCCCCTCTGTGGTGTGCGCTTTCCAGTGGGCATTAACATGAGACAGCGTTTCCATGCTCTGTGGCTGCTCCCACAAGTCCTTCTATCCCAGACTCCCTTGCCTCAATCACGTTTTTTTTTGTTTGTTTTTTGCTTTTTGTTTTCCTTTCCCCTTTCCAAACTCCTAACCATTTGGCCAGGCCATTTGTCATGGCCAGGACCCCATATATATTTCACTTTTCCTCCCTCACAAAGCAAATGACTAGGTTCATTGCCCCAAATTCTACCGCTGCCACACTTTTTTTTGCAGAAAGATTGCAGAAAATTTTTTCCTTGAGGCTGCCTTTCAACATCACCCCGGAGTGAGGGGATAATGCAGCTGCTGTCCATGTTCATCTTGCGGCCAACTCATCAACATGCCAAGTTCAAGCTTTTCCTTCCTCCTTCAGCTGATCATACAGGTCCTCCAAACAACCACAGGGAGGGAGGGAAGGGGGGGTGGGTGCAGCCACAAGGACGTGGAAGTGGGGGTGACCTGCTCATGCAGCTTGGTTATGTACTCTGGTCCCGCTCATGATCGTTCCTGAATGTACCATTTCTGCCTAATGATGAATTGCTAGTGTCCTACCAACTTTATGACCTGATGGTTCTGATAGGACCCAGCTGAGGTGGGCAGTTCTGGATACATCATCACCTGGTGTCTCATGGTTGCATCTCTACCAGGCCCCGTAGCCTTGCTTCGGGAACCCAGGAGACTGCATTGTGATTTCCCATTGGGGCTTGTCATGGATTCTACACTGCATTTTGTTTTCACCGCTGACACCTCCAGTAGCATAGGTCTGCCGGACCACATGGGCCATGCTGCTAATTCCTTCCCATCTGCCACATCTGGGACTGTTCCTAACTGATTTCTAGTTATGGGTCATAATTTTCTGTTCCTTTGCATTCTTTTTCTAGTAATTTTGCATTGAATGTTGGGAATTAGGCTGTTTGTGGATGGATTTTGTTGTATCCCTTTAAATAGTATTGGGCTTTATTCTGGTGCACAGCTATGTTTCTTGGAATCAGTTTGAGCCTTTCAAGGCTTGCTTTTAAGTTTCATTAGGTAAGGTCCAGAACAGCCTTCAAGAGACCATTTAACCTCACTACTAAGGCAATACCCTTGTGAGGACACCACCTAATACTCCATGCATGATGAGTTATCTTCACTCTTGCTAGCAGAAACAAAACTGTTCCCTGAAACAATAACAAAACAAAAACTGTTCCCAGCCCCAAATAAAGCTGCGAATCATTACTTCTACCAGTTTCCAATTTTTCGGTTCTTGGCTTGGGTAGTTTCTTTTTATACCTTCACAGATCAGTCTTGGCCAAGGACTCAAGGGGACTCACTGTAGATGTATAGATCTCTGTGTGTGTGTGTGTGTGTGTGTGTGTGTGTGTGTGTGCGCGCGCGCTTCTTCATCCTCCATGCTGCTGAACAATTCTATCCACTTTCCCTTCCCTTAATATGGATCTCTGTCTCCTCAACTCAGTGAGACTGCCGGCCTCTATTTGACTTCACCTACCTGCTTCATTGCCTAGAAAGAGCCTCGAAGACATACGTTTCAACAATCTTTGAACTGACCTTTCCCACCCTCCTCTCAGAAAACAGTCATGTGCTATGGACTTTCAATGTCTGGTTTTACCATCACAGCCAGAAGTGGATGTGGAATACTGTTTTTGATTTAGTGCCCTGATTCGGGGAGAGGGGGGTTAGAAGCTTACACTCTTTCCTCACAGGTCAAGGAATTAATGTCGTATTGTCCTATCCTCCAAGTATTTTAATCTTAATTATACATTCAGGAATTGAGGAACTAACCACTGACCGGTTGATCTCCAAACCCAGGGGACCAACTGGAAACCAAGTTTTGAGTAGAACTGCATTTATTTTCTAACCTCCCTATGGTCCCACTTAATGGGGGAGGGCAACTCTGATGACACTTTGAGTTTCTGGGTGTCCAGTGTCAATCTGGACCCCAACGTATCTGGGCATTTCTCTTTCTCCAGTGTATATCCCCTGAGTAAATGGACACAGTTCCCTTTAGAAAAATATTGGGGGACTCATTACTGTACACACTTGCTGAAATATTGCAGTGTTCTGTTCCCTGGGAACCCAGCCATCTCTTCAGTCAGTGAGTTTCGAGTCTGAAAACAGGCTCAACTCTAGAAACTGGGCAAGGGATTACAGTTGTGGAGAAGGGGTGATCTACTCTTATCTATTCTTGCTCTCTTTTGATTATGTAGAAAGCATTACCTGTTGGCTTCTCCACCTATTTCATCCCTCGAAATGTCATGTTCCATTAACCATCTCCATAAGACTACAGCTTAGGTTCCCTTGGCTGCCCTTTTTTATTTAAAAGAAATTTTTAATGTCTACTTACTTTTGAGAGAGACAGAGAAGCAGAGCACAAGCAGGGGAGGGGCAGAGAGAGAGAGAGAGACACAGAATCTGAAGCAGGCTCCAGGCTCTGAGCGGTCAGCAGAGGGTCCAACATGGGGCTTGAACTCACAGACTGTGAGATTATGACCCGAGCTGAAGTCAGATGTTTAACCACCCAGGCGCCTCCCTTGACAGCCCTTTCCACCTTACTGGTTAATATGATAACGCCCCCTGCTGTCTGCACTGCAACCTGAGCTCATCGCAGTCTCCTCATCACCCACATGGCTCTCAGCAAGCCAGACTCCACCCTAACCTGTTCTGCCTGCCAGACTGCAGAGGAGAACCGCCTCTGAGCAACGTGGTTTTGCTCACGCACCTCTCATCTGCGCCTTCCCGGTGGCCTTGCTAAAGGGCCAGTCCTCTGAGCCTTTCCTAGGAACATAATTGCTATGGATGGAATTATCGCAACCCATTCCCCCTCCCCCCCTTCACATGAGGAAGTCCTAGCCACCTCTGTGATGGTGTTTGAGACAGGGCCTTTGGAAAAGAATTCACTTTTGATGAGGTCATGAGGTGGAATCCTCCAGGTGGGAGTAGTGTTCTTACAAGGAGAGAAGGAGACCAGAGCTGCCCCTTGTTGGTTCCCAATTTGCCTCAGGAACTTCCCAGGTATCCCCTGACATGCACCCTCCCCCCCAAACAGAGGGCAGGGAGAGACCAGAGAAAGAGGTAGAACGCTCCACACTGGTAGGTGGCAGTTTTAACAAGCAAGGGAACCCCTGAGGTGTGTCTTAGGCGGCTGCAGGATGAGCAGTTTTCTGCACCCGCCTTCCAGAACCTCCTAGGTTTACAGCAGACCCCCTTTAATGTGCAGCTTCACGCCGCACCTCCGGGTGCCCGCGGCCAACCTCAGCCCGGCGGCAGACGGTCCTCCATCCTCGGTATGAAGTCTGGTCAGAGGGTCAGTAGCGCCTAACACTGCATGGCACTGCCCATGTCACTCACCTGGCTTCACCTTGTCACATAGGCACTTCATCATCTCACATCATCGCCAGAAGGGTGAGTACAGTCCAGGAAGATTTTGAGAGAGACCATATTCATAAACCTTTCATTAGAGTATATTACTATAATTGCTTTGATTTTATTCTGGGTTATTGTTAATCCCTTATTGTGCCTAATTTTTAAAAGTTTAGGCTGTATCATAGGTAGGTATGTATAGGAGGAAACGTAGTATACATAGGGTTCAGTACTATCGCGATTTCAGGCACCTGCTGGGGGTCTGAGCATGTGTCCCCTGCAGACAAGGCAGGATGACTGTGCTGGGAGGCCTTCACTGGGTGCAGGCAGGTATCCAGTCCAAATGGCCCCATCACCGGTTCTACCCCAAGGCTGTGTCCTTGCAGGAGCAGCTAGTGGTGGGAAGGGCAAGTGGAACCCACATTCCAAGCACAGGGCAGAGGTGGGGAGCCTCTGACTATCTGAGTCCAGCTCTTGGGTCAAATGGTAGTCATGTCTTCTTGATGACCTCCTCTGATTATCCCCCCACCCCCCCTCCACCTGGGGAGAGAGAGAGAAAACAGCTGTCAGCAAGCCAGAAGGCAGGCCCTCACCAGGCACTGACTTGGCCAACACGATGATCTCAGGAGTGAATTTCTGTTGTTTAAGCCACCCGACCCCGTCTACGTGGTTTGTTACGGCAGCCCCAACAGATAAGGCAAAAATCTCCTGATGGGTCTTATTGCCGCAGCCAATTATCCTTTCCAGCATGGCCCCTTCTGGGAGCTTTGCATTCCTTTTTCTCTGATCTCTCCTGGCAGTTCGGGCGTTTCAACATTTCTGTCACTTTTTCCATGCCTCTAGGAGTCACCCACCCTAAAGCAGTGAGTTTGCACCATCGCCTGGAGCTTATCTCATGGTTAAATCCCATGACCTGAGTGATATCCCCAAGGCGGTAAACATTCCCTCTGTCCAGTCTTCTGACCGAGCACCTGCAGAGCCTGCTCCCAAGGGTGCACTCCTGGCCCCTGGCCCTACGGCACCTTTGCCACATCATCCATTTCTCCCTTCATCCGGCCTGGCATGACCCCAGCCAGGTGGTGCTATGACTTAACCTTGGGCATAGACCTGGGAGATGGGGTAGGTCAGCTTCTAGGGACACCTGTTGCCTTCCGCGGCCAGATCTCTATGCATATCACATTTCCTCCTGTAGCCTCGTTTCCGTAGTGTGGTGGTTATCACGTTCGCCTCACACATTTCCTCCTGTCAGGGTAGGAGAAGGGGGGAGGGATGGTTCTAGTCCTTAATGGGGAGGCAGTGAGCCTCTTCGGCAGGCTCTTTCAGGGGGTCAAAACTGTTGGGGGTACACGCCAGCTGTCCTCTTCTCATTATCCAGGTTGGTCCTGACCTTGGGATGACACACCTGACTTGGTTGAGCATATTTTGTTTTTAGTTTTTTATTTATTTATGAGAGAGAGAGAGAGAGAGAATGAATGGGAGAGGGGCAGAGAGAGACACATACAGAATCTGAAGCAGGCTCCAGGCTCTGAGCTGTTAGCACAGAGCCCGATGTGGGGCTTGAACCCACAAACTGCGAGATCATGACCTGAGCCGAAGTTGGACGCTTAACCAGCTGAGCCACCGAGGCACCCCTGGTTGAGCACTTTTTAATGTTTTTAGTGGTTACTACTTTTACCATCAAATCCTGTGCTTGACCTTCAGTTTTTTCTGCTTAACTTCTGCATGAGGTGAGGGCTGCTTAGCAAGTTACCAAAGAGGCTCCAGCTCTCACACAGTTTATTGTTGTTGTTTTAATTTATTTTTGAGAGAGCGAGAGTGCATGCATGCAAACAAGTGAGCAGCGGAGAGCCAGAGAGAGAGAGGGAGACACAGAATCTGAAGCAGGCTCAAGGCTCTGAGCTGTTGGCACAGAACTCGATGCGGGGCTCAAACCCATGAACCCAGAGATCATGAGCTGAGCTGAAGTCAGATGCTTAACTGACTGAGCCACCCAGGCACCCCTCTCACACTTAAATTGTTGGTTAACTGACCTCAGCTTTTCCTCATTCATCTGCAGGACATTAATTCATTATCCACTCCCACCCCATATCACCAGAGACACCGAATCATCCACCAGCCATTTTATGCTTCACCAGAAGCAGGTCTTCCCATCTAGTTTTAATAACTAGACAGTCCTCTCATGCCAGAAGCTGTCTATACACTGCCTGTCCACCAAGGATGTGAGTCTCATAACCAGCCAGGCAGAGAGTGACCCAGTGTCAAGAGGCTGTCTTATTGCCCATGACCTTGGGCCACTCTGATCCCAGTTGTACTAGGATGCTGAGCTGGAGTTCAGAGCACCAAACACGTATGACAAAATTAGTCTCTGAAAGGAAAAATGAAAGGCAAGGTTGGGTTGGGGAACAAGGGTAAGTAAGACTGGACAGGGGAACCATCAGCCTTCATCACAGATCCGATGAAGTCTCTGTAGCCCACCAGGGAGCTCCAGAGCAAGGACTGCTTATTTAGAAGGGTCCATAGGGCACCTGGGTGGCTCAGTTGGTTAAGCGTCCAACTTTGGCTCAGGCAATGATCTCACTGTTCATGAGTTCGAGCCCCATGTCAGTCTCTGTGCTGACAGCTCAGAGCCTGGAGCCTGCTTCGGATTCTGTGTGTGTGTGTCTCTCTCTCTGCCCCTCCTCTGCTTGTGCTCTGTCTCTCAAAAATAAACATTAAAAGATTTTAAAAAACACACAGAAGGGTCCTGAGTTGGGCAGAAACAGATAGTTCTTGGGCCACCACCTTGCTCAGTCTTTGGCTGGAAGATGCTAGAAAACAGCGTTCTGTCAGCTCCCACTGCCCTGCTCGGGTGTGGGCTCAGTACGTGTGAATAGAGAATAGTGTGAATAGTGTGTCATTATCTTGCACCTGCAGTAGACCCTGAAGAAAGTGTCAGCTGGAGATGTCAGCTGACCACGCCCCTCGGAGCCGGGCAGCTGGTCCTTTCTCCCAGGTGGATCTGAGGGCCACAGCTCCATGGGCTTGCCTGCCACAGCTCCAAGTGTCAGGAAAGAAATGACTGGCCTTTGGCCACAGTTCCACCTTAAGTACCAGAAATGATCAGTGACAACTTCACATCAGTAATCTCCTAAATCAGGCCAATCAGCAGCTGCCTCGCTCGGGGACCTGCACCTCCACAACTAAAGCTTGATCCCTAAGGGATTCTGTCTGCTAACCCTTGCCCCCCGCACCCCCCAAACCCCCGCCCCATGCTTCCTGAAACCCTGTCAGCAGTTTTCTTTGTCCAGAGAGACTGTGCAAGCACAGCTGTCTCCCGCTCAGCAAGTGCTACGTGCAGCTCTTTGTTCTGGATACTGAAGGTGGCCTCTTCCTTTGACACGGTCACATCTGCCCAGGATGTCCCCAGCCCGCCGGGCTTTCATCTGACTGGCTCCTTCTCGCCATCCCAGTCTCAAATGTCTCCCTCTCAGAGACAGTTGACCCCGTGTGAGGTCTACTGCGCCCTTCGGAGCCACACTCTAACCCAGGGTTCGTTTGCACAGTCTCCATCTCTAGAGCATAAACTCCGCGAGGGCTGTCTTCTCTGGACGGGGCACTGAATGGAAGAGCGAAAGGAGTTTCAGGGCTTGATAGTTACAAAGTGGCCGCTGAGGGCGCGGTTCTACTCCCCACCCCGCGCCCCCACCCCGCGCCCCCACCCCGCGCCAGCCCTGCGAGCTGTGGGCCTGGAACACAGCAGGTGTCCCACACAGTGAAATGTTTGGGGAGAAAGGTTAAGTGGTAACTAGAAAACAGGGAACACACGCCCTCAGTGTAAGGGAATGTTTTCAGACTTAGAAAGAAACTCTTAGAGGAAACTGACACAATCATTGACATGTGGATGGCTCTGTGGAAAGAATTGGTGGCTGGGGGGGTGGTCACTTTAATCCCTCTCATGATTCCTGAGATCCCTCCTTAAAACCTAGCACTCCTAAGGAAGATGGGTAACTTCCCAGGGAAATCAGATAATCCAGGCAAAGGAGAGATGGGAATTCTTGTCCCACATAAGGGTCTGGGGATCTAGGCTATAATTTGGGGGGGGGTGAGGAGGATCAGGCAGAATCTGACCCTGTTGATAGAGTGGTTGGAGCACGTGGGACAGGAAGGCCTGAGGAGGAGAGCAGGGCACTAATTCGTGGAGCGAGAATGAGACCAAAAGCCAAGGTGGACGGTTTAGTCTTAGAAAAGAGTCTAGGGGCACCTGGGTGGCTCAGTCGTTGGAAAAGTGTCCGGCTCGGGTCATGATTTCATGGTTCATGAGTTCAAGCCCCACTTTGGGCTCTGTGCTGACAGTGAAGAGCCTACTTGGGATTCTTTCTTGCCTTTCTCTCTCTGCCTCTTCCCCACTCGCTTGGTCTCCCTCTCAAAATAAATAACTTTTGAAAAAAAGTCTACACATAAATTTCCTATAAATAGGAGAAGAAAAAAATATCCATAGAAATGTTGGCATAAGTGATATTTTGTAGTCAGTGCCAGCCACGTAATTATAACAACTGATTCATTGCCATGAGATGTATTCTTTGGATTTTGGGCTGAAAAATGGTTTAGTTTATAATTTATGGAAGAGAAGGGAAAAATTAGATACCCTGGGTTTGCAGAGTACAAAATCAATTTTTAAAATTTATTTATTTATTTAATTTTTAAAAATTTATTTCTGAGAGAGAGAGAGAGAGAGAGAGAGACAGCATGAGCAGGGTAGAGTCAGAGAGAGAGAGGGAGATAGAGAATCTGAAACATGCTGAGCTGTCAGCACAGAGTCTGATGCGGGGCTCGAACCTATGAACTGTGAGATCATGACCTAAGCTAAAGTCGGACGTTTAACCAACTGACCCACCCAGGTGCCCCAATTTTTTGATTTTTTAAAATTTTAATTAAAAATTGTTTACTGTTTATTTCTTTATTTTTAGGTTTATTATTTTTTATTTTCCTTTTTTTAAATGTAGGTATAATTAACATATGGCATTAGTTTCAGGTGTATAATGTAATGATTCCTTATTTGTATATATTGCAGAATTTGTTTATTTTTGAGAGGGAGAGACAGAACATGAGTGGGGGAGGGGTAGAGAGAGAGGGAGACACAGAATCCCAAGCAGGCTCCAGGCTCTGAGCTGTCAGCACAGGGCCCAACCCGGGGTTCAAACTCACAAACTGTGAGGTCATGACCTGAGCTGAAGTCAGACGCTTAACCAACTGAGCCACCCAGGTGCCCCATTTTCAATCTTATTTTATTTATCTATTTATTTATTCGTTCATTCATTCATTCATTCATTTTCAATCTTATTTTAGAGAGAGAGAGCAATGGTGAGGCCTGTGATCATGACCTGAACCAAAATCAGAAGTTGGATGCTAAACCGACTGAACCACCCAGGTGCCCCTCAATTTTTTTAGTTGAACATATTTTACACCACAACTAAATGTTGGTCATCAGAAATACGCTTCTCTTAACTCTAGATGCTGGCGAGGATGTGGAGAAACGGGCACCCTCCTACACTGTTGGTGGGAATGTAAACTGGTACAGCCCCTCTGGAAAACAGTGTGGAGGTTCCTCAGGAAACTAACAATAGAACTCCCCTATGACCCAGCAATAGCACTGCTAGGAATTTACCCAAGGGATACAGAAATGCTGAGGCATAGGAGCACATGGACCCCAATGTTCATAGCAGCACTCTCCACAATAGCTAAAACATGGAAAGAGCCTAAGTGTCCATCAACGGACGAATGGATCAAGAAGATGTGGTTTATCTATACCATGGAATACTCCATGGCAATGAGAAAGAATGAAATCTGGCCATGTGTAGCAACGTGGATGGACCTTGAGGGTGTTATGCTGAGCGAAATAAGTCAGGCAGAGAAGGACAAGTATCATATGTTTGCACGTATAGGAGGATTAGGAGGACCTTGACGGAGGAACAAGGGGGAGAAGAAGGGCGGAAATGGTGGGGGAAAGGGAGAGAGGCAAACCATGAGAGACTCCTGAATGCTGACAAAAACTGAGGACTGATGGATGTGGGGGGGAGGGGGGGATGGGCATGGAGGAGGGCCCTTGTGGGGATGAGCACTGAGTGTTATGTGGAAACTAATTTGACAATAAACTATTTGTAAAATAAATAAATAAATAAAAAGAAATATGCTTCTCTTGTTTAAAAAGGAATTTATTGCATAAGCGCTGTCTATTTTATATAGAACTCTAGAGTGAATACTAGACATATTTACCTCTTACCAGTAGAGGCTGGTACTGGGGATATTCTAGCAGGAGGGGTAGGAGTCCTCCAGTTGGTTTTGTTAAGTGAGCTGAAGAAGAAATTTAATTTTTTGGCAAGCATCAAAAGGCAAAGAACCAATAATCAATGCAAGCAAATAACTTTGGAAGATAACTGCCTGAGATTTTAAAATTTTACATCCATGATAGTTTCAAAGCCTGAAATTTAGTTTGTTGTGTATCAAAAATTACAACTTAAAAGGTAGCTCTGAGGCCATAGTCCTGTGATTCCGTGTAACGTATGAGATGTGGGATGAATGCTCCGTATGGTCCTAGCCACTCCTGGCCTGAAGGAGCCACACTCTGGAACAGTCGCCGGCCAGTGAGGCATAGTGGTTAATGACATGGACTCGGGGGTCCGACTGCCTGGACCCCAATCAGCCTCTGCCCTTACAGTTTCATTTGCAGCAAGTTCCCAAACGTCTCTGTGCCTCAGTTTCTTCATCTGCAAAACAGAGTAGATACCATGTGGCACCCAGAGTTGTTCTGAGGGTTGAGATGTAGTAATTCAGGCGAAGTGCTTAGAATGGTGCTCCTAGAATGTAATCCATACATGCTGGCTGTGGAAACCATTAACCGTAGGTGTGTCTTTATCCAGGTTAGTAATCCAGGCCAGGGAGAGATGGGAATTATTATCCTATATAAGGGCCTATGGGGAACTAGGATTGTGCTCACTATAGGTATCCTGGTTAGGGACTATATATATATAAAATTTATTTTGAATATATATATTATTTATTTTGAATATATTTTATTTTGAATATATATATTTTATATATATATTTTATATATATATATATATATACACACACACACACACAATTTATTTATTTTGAAGGAGAGGGGCAGAGAGAGAGAGGGAAAGGGAGAGAATCCCAAGCAGGCTTCGTACTTTGAGTGCAGAGCCTGATGCAAGGCTCGAACTCACAAAACCAGGAGACCATGGCTGAGTTGAAGTCAGACACTTAACCGACTGAGCCACCCGGGTGCCCCAGTTAGGGAGACTAATTTTAAGAGATGTCACATAACGTGGGGGTTGAAGGGACCTTAGCATCATCGGGCTCCATCCTCTTACCACTGGATCTCACATCTTCTGCAGAAGCGATCACACGACCTCTGCTTGAACACACGCCGTGGTGGGATACGCAAGCAGTGTCATTCCGGCAGCTTCATTGGTGGGAGGTTCCTGAGCCCCAACCTGCTTTTCTCTGTCACGCCTCCAACCACCAGCCCTAAGAGGCCATACTAGTTACTGCCTTTCCCAAAACAGGCTCCCACTTATCCGCCTTTTAACCTCGGTGTGTACTTTCAACTGATTAAGTCCTTTCCAGCCTAACTTTTAACTCAGGCCAAAGACCAGGTGGGCAGAGTAGCCCCTGCAATAAAGACCCTGCATGATTGACCCCAAGGCCATGATCGACCTGACCTTTACCGCCCACCTGCACGTACCCACCCACCTCTGTACCACATTTCCCTTGAATAAACCTGCAAGAGTTTTTAGCACGTTGGAGATCATCTTTGAGATGATGCTGGTCTGCTGTCTTCAAGGCAATGGCCTCACATTGAAATGAATTCCTTTCCTGTTTCTGCACTGCTCATTCCTCTGTCTCTGGATTTTGTCAGCGGCCAGTGGCCGAACCTGGTCTGTCTTGAGACCCTTGGAGTCAGGTGTGGTTGCACCCGTGGGCCCTGGTGACATCTGAATGTGACTTTGTCTTCTCCAGGACAAGCATATTCTGATACAATCAGGCATGCATTTCAGCCTCCTTGATTTTGTGGCAATCCTTTCTTACAGTAACTAATTTAAAAAAAATTTTTTTTAATGTTTTATTTCTTAGAGAGACAGCATGAGCAGGGGAGTGTCAGAGAGAGAGGGAGACACAGAATCTGAAGCAGGCTCTAGGCTCTGAGCCAGCTGTCAGCACAGAGCCTGAAGTGGGGCTCGAACCCACAAACTGTGAGATCATGTCCTGAGCCGAAGTCAGACGCTTAACCGACTGAGCCACCCAGGCACCCCTTGCAGTAACTAATTTTTTATACAACCTCCAGAACTACATGAAATTCTTTAAAAGTGCATGTGAATTTTTAAATGATGTGTTTGTATACATGCCTTCAGGGGGAAGAAAACATGCCTTATAGTGAGATTCAAAATAGGAAAGAAGTCCCTAACTTCATAAATTTATTCTTTGCCGTGAAATATGATTGACACTTCTGAGTCAGGTGGAAATTTTCTCGTGCGGTGGGGGTGGTGGGCAGATGAGAAAGGGGATTCCATGGCGGGCAGGGTGGTGCAAAAGAATTCCATTTTTGTTCTCAACGGAATGTCACCTGTCTAGGCTTGAGAGCCTAGCCGTTGCACACAGGATACCTCTTTAACATTTTTATTGCTAATATCTAGAGGGGATAACATCCAAATGACACAAAGCCAAGTGGAAAACAGCAACACGATTGTGATACAGTGAAGAAGGGTGAAGCAAAAAGACACTTCCTGGACCTCATAGAAATAGACCCCTTCGGAGCTGTGACGGACTCACATGTTTCTAGAAAACTGTCCCCTGCTACCTGTGTATCTAGATGAGGCTTCAAGCATTAAAAGGCACCTTGGAAATCAGCTCAATTCATTGTAGTTCTCGCAGGTAGAGATACTAGAACCCGCGTTTGACGTGTAGGTACTCTTGATGTCTATGCTCAGCAATCATACTTCCTTTTTTCCTTCATTCGGTTTCTTTGGAGGGTTCATTTTTCTGGATCAACCACACTTCATTATTTCTATCAAGCAACTTGAAAGGGCTGTTGTAGCCTGCAGTGTAGTAAACCTTCTCGTTGAAAACTTTTCCTTCTTCCCTCAACATGCTTGCTAAGGTCAAAAGCTGCTCTTGATTCTTTTGAGCACTAGAGAATCCATCGAAAGACCTACAAAGGAGAAAGCAAATAACCATGAGTGAGTCTTATGCTGATGTAAAGGTCAGTCTGAAAAGGAAAGCAGAAGCCGATACCACGAGGTGCTGCTCCCGAGCCTCCCCTCCCCCTGCCCCCAGCATTCTCGTCCGGCGTGCATTCTCACAGTGGCCTCACCACACGGAGGACACCCAGGAGGAGGCACGTGTCCCATCTGCTGGCAGGCAGGTTTGGAACTTTCACCATTTTGTGCTCTAACTCTTGCTTCTCAGACTCAGGAGTGCACAAGTGACCTGAGAAACTTGCTAAAATGCAGATTCCAGAGGTCTGGGGTGGGGCCCGAACGTCTGTATGCCTAACAGGCTCCCGATAATGCTGGTGCTGCTGGTCGCTGGTCACAATGACTCTCCCTCAGGAGACCCCCTTTCAGACCTACAGTTGCTATGGAATCTTTCCCTCCTGGGGAAAAGGGTAGGCTCCACACTACTGACGAATAGGACACAGTTTTGAATCTAAGAGTTTATAGAGGGATGTTCTGGCCGCTCTTTCTACATAGCCCGAGAAGAGATTTAACAGAGACAGGATCACAATATGCTTGGGAACACCAAGGATACGACTGAATCAGGAGTAAGGGGTGTCCTCTGAGTTGGGTCTGGAATGAATGGTTTTGCTGGGCAGAAAAAGGGAAAGCAGAGAAGGATAAGAAAATGAACAGAAGTTGAAAGACACAAAGCATGTTCAGAAGGAGCCACAAAATGAGCTCTGAAAGGTAAGTCAGAGCCAGAAAGAAGCTCGTATGCCACCCCAGGCCTTTTGAGATTATTGTGAAGGATGCTGAGCAGAAAAGTAACTTGATAGGATCTGGGAAAGACGGATGGAAAATAGACTGGAGGGAGGAAAAGACAGTCAAAAGACTTAAATAAAACGAGGGAAAAGAGAATAAAAGTTTAAGTATAGATTTTAAAGTATATAAACAAAAATATCCTGAGGTTAAACTATAACAACACGCAGCTGACATGTAAACACGATGAATTTGATTTTGAACGTTAAGATTTGGAAACACAAAATAATGAATATTCCCATTATGCCTTCAGTAGACTAAGTTTTATTATCAATGTGCCAATGGAAACAATTAGTCCTACCATTCTTCTGCTGAGACATAAGCTCTCAAGGGTATAAACCATGTCTATTTCATTCAACAATGTTCATCAGACACCTAGTATCTTTCAAATCCTCATTGAATAGTGTAGGAATCTATGTATGTACATGTACATGAAATAAAACATTGAGGATAAACTGATAAAACTGTTCTAATTTTCAGAATGTTAACTGATAATGATAACTCTGAACCATGCGTTGAGAGACATTTTGCCGCCTATATGTATTCTTTTTTTAACAAAGAGCCAACTTTTAGGATGCTCGGTCTAAAGGAAACTGGCCTTCAGATCCTATTTCTTCCTTGAAATCAAATCTTGAACCCCCTAGTTAGAAATCACCTTTTGTTCTCTGAATACACATTGTTCTACAAAGATCCATCCAAAGCTTTACTTGGTACCCAAACTGCTGACTCCCTTCCCACACGCCTGCCCCGCGAGGAGCTGTGGGTATGAACATGGTGCCATGTTGCCGTATTCTCGAGAATGTGACCGTCTAAAGGTAGATCATTATAACTAAGAAGAACAGAGTGGCTGGCTGACTGGGGAAACTGAGGAAGGCGTCACAGATGAGGTACTATTTGATACGAGTCATGAAGGAGAAAAGGAGATGCTCCAAGAAGAGGAGAAAGAAGAAGCTAAAACTAGCAGGAAGGTCATGTGCATGTTCTAAGTATTTTACGGACATAGACTCATGTAATCTTCAGGGCCATCCTATGAGGCAGGTAAGGACTGTGACTATACACGTCTTACAACTGAAGAGCTTTGGTCCAGGACAATGTGAGTAACCTGTCGCGGTCACGGGTAAAGAGACGTGGCAGATCTCAGCCACAGCAATCAGACAACAAAAAGAAATTAACATACTTTCAAATTGGCAAGGAAGAAGTAAAACTTTCACTCTTTGCAGATGATGTGATGCTATAGGTAGAACCTGAAAGACTCCACCACAACCCCGCTAGAGCTGATACGGGAATTCAGCAAAGCCGCAGGGTATAAAATCAACATACAGAAATCAGTTGCATTTCTATACAGCGATAATGAAGCAGCAGAAAGAGAAATGAAGGAATCCATCCCATTTACAACGGCGCTCAAAACAATATGATACCTAGAAATCACCCTAACCAAAGATGGGAAAGAGCTGTACTCTGAAAACTATAAAATACTGATCAAAGAAACTGAAGGGGACACAGAGAAATGGAAAGACATTCCATGCTCCTGGACCAGAAGAAACATTGCTAAGTTGTAATACTACACAAAGCAGTCTACACATTTAATGCAATCTCTATCAAAATACCAACAGCACCTTTCTCAGAGCTAGATCAAACAATCCTAACATTTGTATGCAACCACAAAAGACCCTGAGTAGCCATAGCAACCTTGAAAAAGAAAAATCAAAGCTAGAGGCATCACAATTCCAGACTTCAAGTTATATTACAAAGCTGTAGTGATTAAAATGATATGGTACTGGCATAAAAACAAACACACAGATCAGTAGAACACCCAGAATAAAACACCCAGAAAGGAACCCACAATTATATGGTTAATTAATCTTTTACAAAGGAGGAAAAAATATTTAATGATTGGCTTGTCTCTTCAACAAATAGGTACTGGGAAAACTGGACCACTTTCTTTTGCCATGCACAAAATAAATTCAGAATGAGCTAAAGACCTAAATGTGAGACCTGAAGCCATAAAATCCTAGAGGAGTACTTCTTTGACATCACCTATAGCAACTTCTTTCTAGATATGTCTCCTAAGGCAAGGGAAATAAAAGCAAAAGTAAACTATAGGGATTATGTAAAAATAAAAAAACTTCTGCACAGAGAAGGAAACAATCAACAAAACTAAGAGGCAACCTATGGAATGGAATATTTTCATATAATATATCAGACACAGGGTTAGTATCCAAAATATATAAAGAACTTACAAGACTCAACACCCCAAAAACCAAATAATTCAATTAAAAAATGGGCAGAAAACATGAACAGAGCCCCACATCGGGCTCTGCACTGATGGTATGGAGCCTGCGTGGGGTTCACTCTCTCCTCCTCTCTGCCCTTCCTCAGCTCATGCGCTCGCTCTCTCAAAATTAATAAATAAACATAAAAAACACGAACAGACATTTCTCCAAAGAAGATATACAGATGGCCAAAAGACACATGAAAAGATGCTCAACATCACTTAGCAGGGAAATGCAAATCAAAACTACAAGATATCACCTCACACCTGTCACAATGGCTAAAATCAACAGCACAAGAAACAACGGGGGTTGGCAAGGATGTGGAGAAAGGGGGACCCTCTTGCACTGCTAGTGGGAATGCAAACTGGTGCAGCCACTCCGGAAAACAGTAAGGAGGTTCCTCAAAAAGTTAAAAAAAGAACTACCCTACGATCCAACAATTGCACTACTAGCTATTTACCCAAAGAATACAAAAATATAATTCCATGCACCATGGTGTTTACAGCAGCATTATCTACAGCAGCCAAAGCATGGAAACAGCCCAGTGCCCAACGATTGGTGAAAAGATAAAGATGTTGTGTGTGTATGTGTGTGTGTGTATGTATATATATATTGTATCCCCACCCACTTACATGTAGAATTTAAGAAACAAAACACATGAGCAAAGCCAAAATCAAAAAACAAACAACAACAACAACAAGAGGCAAACCAAAAACAAACTCTGACCTATTGAGAACAAACTGATGGTTTGAAGGTGGGCAGAGGCATGGGTTCCCTAGGTGCCTGGGATTGAGAAGGGCACCTGTTGTGGTGGGCACCGGGTGATGTGTGGAAGTGCTGAATCCCTATCTTGTACTCCTGAAACTAATATTACACTGTATGTTAACTAATTGGAACTTAAATAAGAACTTAAAAAGAGAGAGAGAGAGAGAGAGATGGAAGAACATGGCTTGCTCAGCGAAGGGTGGGAAGGTCAGGGGAACATAACTAGTGGGGAGACAGGCTGGGTCACATTATAAAAGACATTGTGAACAATCTGAACTTCACCCTGAAGCAAGCAGAAAGGCACAGAGATTTTCAGTGAAGCCTCAGGTTGGGGTCTTTGCTTTGCTGCTGTGGTAGTGAGAAAGGTCACGGGCTCAAGAGTGGAGCGGGAGGGGAAGAGGACAGTGGGCAGGTTACTCCCAACAGCTGGGAGCCAACTGAGGCACAACACACGAGACCTGCGATGAATAAACATCCGAGCACGCACGGGGGACCAGGCGTAGCGCCGAGCACTGGGGTGTACAAAGATGACTTAGGCGTGGTTCCTGTAAGACAAGGAGCTGAGGAAGTTACGGGGATGGAGAGAAGGGAACAGAATCCTGGATCATTTCCAAGGGGAATGGACCGGACCTGGCAATCAGGTGTCAGGGAAGAGTGTGCTGATGGCGGCCTTGGGGGTCTTTGCCAGGAGGCTGTCTGGCTGATGAGGCCCTTTACTGAGACAGGCACGATAAGATCACGGCCCATATAAACTGGGAATTGGGGGAAGGCTCATTTTTAGAGCTGTTGAGTCGAATCCCCACCCACTTCACATGGAAATGTCCAACACGTAGGGAAACCGGGGTAGGGACACTGGACACACAGAGTTAAAGCTTTGTAAACAGATCACCCGGAGCAAGTCTGTTCTGACATGAGGGTCAACGTGGAGCACTGAGCGAGAGAGAGGAGCAGGAGGAGACAAATGCCAAGAGAGTGACGTTCTGAGACTTCACAGGATGTATAAATATCCAGCGAATAGATTAGTCAATACACAAAGGCTTCAGGGGTCACACGGGCAAGGACTGCCATCACGTGACCACTGCAAGGGCACTGCCGAGGGTGACGAGGGCACTTTCAAGGAGATGGTGCGGGCTCTCCCAGGTGGTGGCGGTCTAAGGTGTACAAGGGAAACAGAGACAGAGAAACAGATGCTTTTAGCGGTTGGTGGTGACAAGAGGGACAGAAAGGAAGAAAGGGACTCCAATATGAGACTGTTATCACCTTCTGCGTATGTTTTTAAATTTCAACAGAGAGAAGTGAAGGAATGCATCAAACAGGTACCGGAAGCCTGAAACAGGACAAAGGAACCACTCATCTAACAGAGTCACTAACTGCAGGAACCAGGTACCATCCCTTGGGCTGGAGAACGCAGGGAAGAGTTTGGGGCTCTCAGAACCTAGAAGCCGGGAGGAGGGGTACCATGCATGGTGCATTAGGATTTTCGTTCAGGTTTACCTCGATGGCAGGTAAGGGCCGTCTGGTGCTTTGAGAATGATGCACATTGTGTCTTATTGGTGGAAGGTTTGGAACAGACTCTTCATTACATGCAGTGAGTATGTCTTACAAGAGACCCTCAGTAACATATAAAACTAAGCCAGTAGGAAAACACCGTAAAATGCATCAGACCTCTTTCTTATGGAAGCGTGAAAAGCCTACTGAAATGGCACAGGAGCTAAACCGAGTGCAGCCAAGGAAGGCCAGCTGTCCGCAGGGCTATAAATTATCTACCACTTACCGTACGAACACGGTCATTTCTGCTCTGTCTTCAATGAAGACATCTGACTCTGAAGGCCGGGGCGGATCAGGTTGCTGTTCAGAGGGGAGGTACAGGGAGACGGTAATGGTAGACTCGCTAAAAGGGCCTGGACCAGGCTCCACGTAGCTTGTCACAGGGGCTGTCATCTTTATTTTCATCTCTGGACCATAAAATAATGAATTTAAATACCGTGAAAAGACCTTGAAAGCAGAGTTAGGGTATGTATGACTACTTCTAAAAGCTGGATCTATGATTTTTTTGATCTGAGTTACCTGACTTACCTTATGCTACTGACATAACATTTACCTTTAAGATAATTTTCATCTTTGAAAAAGAAGGGCGAGGGGCGCCTGCGTGGCTCAGTCGGTTAAGTGTCAAACTCTTGATTTTAGCTCAGGCCATGACCTCACATTTTGTGAGTTTGAGCCCATGTCAGGCTCTGCACTGACTATGTGGAGTCTGTTTGGGTTTCTCTCTCTCTCTTTCTCTCTCTCCCTACCCCTCCTCCACCCGTGCTCACTCATGCACTCTCTTTCAAAATATTTAAAAAAATAAAGGCAAATGATTCAATTATCCACAGGCCACATTAAACACTTTCTGTACTATTAACATTTATGGTTAATAAATTCTTGTTTTAGGGATAGAAGGGAAAATTAGAGATCATATAGTCCAGTCTATCTGTCATGTTTTACAATTCAGACTGAGATCCCATTGACTAAGTGACCTGTTAAAATATAAATAGCATCAGAGCCACAACCCTAGATCTTGTGTTCTTTGCACCTTCCTGCCTCCTGATGACTCTTACCCTAGAATTACCTCGAAATATTAGCCATGAAAAGAACTTAACACTAGTTACACAGAGGCCCAGTTCATCCAGCAGAAACAGACAAGAACAGGGGCTGAAAAGCACTACCCAGTACTCACTCCTCTCGACACTGGGAAGGGTCCTGAGCAGAGTCCCTGTCTTCACACATTGTCTTTGATGATCTCATTACGTTTCTATTCTAAAGTATATTTCTTTAGTAAGCTAAAACGCAAGTATAAGCCAGGGGACTCAACGACAACATATACGATAATAAGGTAAACTGTCTTCACCTTTCTCATTTTTGCCTTGAACGTAGCTGCTCAGCTTTGTAAAACCAGTTTGGATGGCTGAATCCCAGTCCATAGACTCAACGGAAGTGCTGACCCATTTGGCTGGTCCATAATGTCGGACCTCGTAATTTCCGGGCTAAAATAAAACAGAGGAAACTTGGGAAGCAATTCTAAAAACGCAGGACGTGAGAGGCAACAGAACAGATGACTCGATCTCAGGTCCACCTGGATTTCCCTTGATCTCGGGGCCCAGGCAGGTCTTGGGGATGGGCGCCTGGTTCCGGTTCCTCAGAACCGGGCGGAGCCCCTACCCCGAGGCTCCCATCCTCGGACAGAGCCGCTGGCGGCCTCGGCCCCACACGCAGGGGTGGGGGGTCGGCTCTACTCCCGCTGAGACCGAGCATCTGTTACGTCCCCTGGGCCGAGAGTGTCCCTCGGCGGGTTTGGGGATTTGATCATTCCTTTTTCTTTTTTAACCTCAAGAGAAATGAAGATGTAGCCATAGGTTACGGCTAACCGACCGAATTTCCCCGTCTGGGCAGGAACGGAGCTGGGGGCCCAGGAGACTTTAAAAAGTGTACTTTTGACTTAAATCCGTGGGAGCCGCCGGCCCCCCTGCACACCGGCCGGCGCGCGCTGGCCCGCACCCTCCGCGCCCGCGGGAGGCGCCTACCTGCGGGCCCGCGTCCTCCGGCGCCGTCCAGCCCGGCGTCTCCACGGCCTGGGCCGCCGCGCGCTCGGCTGTCGCCAGGTCCGGCTCCAGCACCTCGGCCATGGGCGGCGCCGACGCTCCGCGGAGAGAGGCTGGCGAGCGGGGCCGGGAAGGGGTCGCTCCGGGCCGCCCCGCTGCGTGTGCGCGCCGCGCCCGCCGGTCCCGGCCGCGAGGCCCCGCCCCCGCGCTGCCCCGGCCGCGGTCACCGCGTCGACGCGCGTGCCTCCTCCCCGCAGTGCCGGAGACCCGAGTCGGCGGGAGCCCCGCCGGCCTGGGCCGGGAGGGGGCGCTGCGTCCTCGGGAGCCCCGATTCCCAGGCGGGCTGCTCCCGCCGGGGCCGCGCCCCCCGTGCCGCAGGCGTGAGCGCCGGGGGCCGGACGGCAGGGTCCGCTTAGGCCCGGCTTCCTTTCGGAGTCCCTCCCCAGCCCTTGTTTTTTAAATTATCAGGCAAGCGAAGGTGTCCCCTGTGCGAGCGGGGCGGTGGAGGACGAAGCAGCTGGCTTTCGGGTTTCTGGTGGAACCGGTTCGGGAACGTCTCGGCGGCTCCGCCCGCGGTGGGAGCCGGTTCTGCGGCCCCGGCTGCTCCCGGGGAGCGGCGTGAGCGCGGGCCAGCACCCGAGGTGCCCTCGGCGCAGGCGGGAGGGAGCCTGCTCCTGCAGGGGGAGGGCGGGCCGGCGCCTGCCGACCCTAACCTTGGCTGTGTCTGCTGCACCCCGTGGGCCCAGGGCTCCAGGCACGAGTTGGATCGCGGCCCAGACAGGGGCGTGAGGCCCTACTCACACCTGGACGGTGTCCAAGGTGCCGAACAGCCATCAGGGTCCCTCGCTGGAGGAGGCAGATGGGACCCCGGTCGTGCCTGGAGACAGTCTTGAAGTGTCCTCGTTTATTGACCTTTCCCTGAAATGATCCCCCCAAACCTCTAAGTCGGTCCAACCAGAACTTTCAGGCTGGGGAGAGGGAGGTGAAAGGGGGACAGAGAAATGGGGGTGGGGGGAAGGGTACAGCCACAGGACTCTAGTGCCTTTAAAACGTTTTGTTAGATTTATTCTTTATTTTTCCTAAGATTTATTGAGATATAAATCACATACCATAAAATTCACCCATTTCATGTGTGCCATTCAGTGATTTTTAGTATATTTATAGTTGTGCGAGCATCACTACAATCAACTTTTGAGCATTGTGATCACCTCTCCCCATCCCCCAAACGCCATATTCTTTAGCTGTCCCTCCCCAGTGCCCCATCCGCAGCCCTAGGCAACTACTAATCTGCCCTCTGTCTCTCTAGGTTTGCCAGTTCTGACCTTTCATATAAATGAAATAGTGCAGCGTGAGTTAATCTGAGAGGCTGCTGTAACAAAATACCACAGACTGGTGGTTTAGAAACAACAGAAACTTCTTTCTCACTGTTCTGGAGGCTGGAAGTCGCAGACCAGGATGCCAGTTAGGTGAGGCCCTTCCCCTGGGGGCAGACTGCTGGTGGTGTCCTCACAAGGTGGAAGGTGCAAGGCAGCTTTCTCTGGCCTCTTTTATAAGGACACTAATCCCATAGGTGAAGGGGCCTGCCCTCCAGACCTAACCATCCCCCAAAGGCCACCTGCCTCCTAATACCATCATACTGAGCATGTGGTTTTCAGATTGTGAGTTTGGGGAAATGCAAACATACAGACCATAGCAGACAGCATGTGGTCCTTTATGACTGGATTGCCCCACTTAGCAACATATTTCAAGTTTCATCCACGTTGTAGCCTGGATCAGTACTGCATTCCTTTTTGTGGCTGAAGAATATTCCATTGGAGAAATAGTTTTCATCAATTGACGGGCATTTGAATTGTTTCAAACTTTTGGCTGTTAAGAATAATGCTGCAATAAACATTTGTGGATAGGTCTCTGTATGGACATGTTTTCATTTCTCTTGAGTAAATTCCCAGGAGTGGAATTGCTGAGTCAAGTGGTAACTCTGTGTTTAACTTTTTGAAGAACTGCCAGACTGTGTTTTAAAGTGGCCGTACCCTTTTACGTTTTCATCAGCAGGACATGAGCATTCTGTTTCTCCACATCCTCAACGATTGTTATCCTCTGGCTTTTTATGGCCATCTTATTGGATGCGCCCAGCGTAAAAAAAGTTTTTTGAGATGCAATTCATGCAACATAAAATTCATCATTTTGAAGCGTACAGTTCAGTGGTTTTGAGTATTTTTGCTATGGTGTACAATCATCATCGCTATCTAATTCCAGAACATACTATCACTCTCAAAGGAAACCCTATACAACTTAGCGTCACTTCCAAACTTGTGTTCTCTGCACCTTCTTGCCCCCTGATGACTTACCCTAGAATTATCTCGAGGCATTTGCCATGGAAAGGACTTAACACTAGTTACACAGAGGCTGTTCGTCTGGCAGAAACAGACAAGAACAGGGGCTGAAAAGCACTACCCAGTACTCACTCCTCTCGACACTGGGAAGGGTCTTGAGCAGAGTCCCTGTCTTCACACATTAATCTTTGATGATCTCATTATGTTTCTCTTCTAAAGTATATTTAACAAGCTAAAACACAAGAATAAGCCAGCCCCTGGTGGTGATCACTAAGTTACCTTCTGTTTCTGTGGCTCTGCTTATTGTGGGTATTTCATATAAGCGGAATATAATATGTGTTCTTTTGTGGCTGACCTCTTTCTTTTAGTGTAATGTTTTCAAGAGCCATCCATGTTGTAACATGTGTCAGTACTTCATTCTTCTTTGTTGCCGGAGAAGGTCCTGTTGTACCATTCTACCGCTTGTAAGGCAATTCATGTTCCCTTTTTTTTCTCCCTTCCTGCTCTGCCATGCATGCAGTGTCCTGTGGGCGCACGACACCTGCTAGTGTTTACAGCAAATATGTTATTATGCCAACCTAAGTTTGAATTATTGAGTGAAATCTAAATAATGAGTTTCAACTGTTTCTTAAAAACCAGCCTATTTAACTTCTGTAACATGTGAGCCTCTGCTTAGGTGACTTTGCAAAGTCGGGACTATAATTTTGCTTTGCAGAAAGTTTTAAGACAAAAAAGATGATTTACATTGTTGTTTAAGAAATCTGTTGTTCTTTTTCTCTGCAGAGTACCTTTTGCAGATCTGTGTCTTTTTTAAGGGGGGGGGGAAGCATTTTATTTGTAGAAAAACTGAAGCTAAATTTGGAGACTTTCATTTAATAGGGTGTGGAAGGTACAATTAATGAAGATAACAGCAGGTGACTCTGCTGAGTTATCTATATTTATAAGGTGATAATTAGTCATGTAAAAGAACAGAAGGAGGGAAAGGAAAGGATTTATTTCAAAATAATAGGATTTCAGTTAGAATGAATTTAATGACATTCAGAAGGCTCAAGTTTTACACCCATATGTCAAAATAATCCCGCTAGTTTTCTTGTTGATTAATTATGATAAAATTTTTCTATTAGCTCATATATAAAGATTTGATTTTTAAGCAATCTCTACACCCAGCATGGGGCTCGAACTCACAACTCCAAGATCAAGAGTCGCATGCTGCACTGACTGAGCCAGCCAGGCGCCCCTATTAGCTCATATGTAACCAATGTTGGTATGACACTGAAGGAGATGTTCTATTTAAGCTTTACAGCACATGTGGGGCAGAGCAGTGTGGCTCAGTTCTAACAGCAGGTGTCTCCACTTCACCCCAGCATGGGGGTGTGGTGGGGTGTTGAGGGGGTGGGGAGCCCTGCGGAGCCCTGTGGCATAATCACAGCCAATTCTCATTACTGCCAACAGCTTTGTCCTATAAAGTTATCATAAATATTGAATTAATGAATACTGAACTATTGTTTCTATTTAAAAAAAAATTTTTTTTTTAATGTTTATTTATTTCAGAGAGAGAGATTGAGTGTGAGTAGGGGAGGACAGAGACAGAGGAAGACACAGAATCCGAAGCAGGCTCCGGGCTCTGAGCTGTCAGCACAGAGCCCGATGCAGGGCACGAACTCACGAACTGTGAGATAATGACCTGGGCTGAAGTCAGACACTTAACTGACTGAGCCACCCAGGCGCCCCTGAACTAATGCTTCTATAGGAAATACAGAGTTAGGTTCCTGTGAACCTGTGGGCCCTTGTCTCTAGGTGCTATTGTATAAAGATACCTTATTTAATAGATATTGTTGATTCACTAACATTGAACTCACAACCAACACTCTCACTCATACTTGAATGAAGCTTATATAACACATACCTTCTCCAAAAGGCACATCCCAGCTTTGCTGCACATAGGCACAGAAGACAGCACTTCGGCACTATGTTTGGGGCCATTTTAAGCAACAAAATCAACAAGAAGCCCCAAACTGTGAAAAACACGGCACCGCCTAGACTGCAGAAAGGACACTTGTTTACTGTATGAGAGCTGAAGCCAGAAGGCAGAGCTCTGCCTTATTGGACCTCAGCTGGGGACAGGTGCATCTAGCGGCTGTAACTTCTCACTGCTCTCCTCTCCACATGCAGATCTAGTGACCAAGAAAGTGCTGTGAGTATTGATTTGGGATTACCAATACATACTAGCAAGTGGGTGACTGCAAATACAGAATCTGTGAATCACGAGGATCAACAGTAGGCTTCCTGCAGTAGGTCACACAAGTCACTTCCATGCACATTTCATTGACAGAAGCAAACCATAGGGGCTTGATCAACCTCAAAAGGGTAGGAAAGTACAATCCCACTGTGTTCTCAAAGAACTCAAATATTTGAGAGAAGTACTAATGTTCATTATTGATATCATTTAGTCATTCACTGATTATTCCATCCTTGTGGCAGATTTCATTTCCAAAAGAAGTTGCAATATTATCTCTCACCCAACATGCTGTTCTTATCATGTGATGTTGATGCCTTCCCACTCCCCGCCCCCCACCCCCCGGCAGAAAGAAATTATGCTTTCTTTTCTTGAGACTGGGCAGGTTTGTGAGTACAGTAGAAGTAACACTATGTGACTTCTGAGGCTAGATCATTAAGGACTTCCACCTGATATCTTTTTTTGGGACAATTACTCTTATAATCCAATAGACATGCTGAAAGGAAACCCAAGTAGCTCCATGAAGAGCCATGTGTAGGCACCTAGCTGGCTGGGCTGAGAGCTGACATCAACCCTCCTACACATGTGAATGGCCGCGTTCTCAGACCATGCCGGCCTCCCCACCATTACCACTGAGTCATCCCTAGACATCCTTGATT